CTGACATTGCTGCCAGGTGTAATTTGGGTACATTTTTCTTTTATTTATATTTTATTAATTTGTGTACAGCTAATATGGTTTTCCACATCGACTTTTGCCGGGGCGTGCATTGCTTTCTGCGCCCCCCCCCCCCCCCCCCACCTCCTCCCCAACCCTCCCGCCACTGAATCTGCCAATGAAGTTACATAATATTTACCCATCATAATGCATGGATATAAACTTCATTCTTTTCAACTCTAAAAAGCTTAATGACATCTTTCTTTTCATAGCTTATAAGTCAACTTTAGTTTACATAAGTACAAATAGGAGAAAGTAAAATGATTTCAGCTCAGCTGGTTTGATTAGCGAAGCATCATTAAAACACTCAAATGAAGGGCAAGAAACAAGTCACCCATTTTCAGAAGTCGAAAAGAAACGAAATGTAAAGAGAACAAGACGGAATTAAATATCTAGTCAATATTGAAGAAGTGCCTTCACTTTTGATTTGCTAAGCCATCAAACTTTGATGTAAAGCGACATTTCTTGAGGCGCTAAATCTTTCACTGTCCTGCCCGATTTCCAATCGAAAGCGGCAAAAGAAAATGCAGCGAAAGACAGAGAAAAAAAACCGGGTCGAAAACACGAAATTAAGTTTGCAAACATTACGGAAGATTGAAAGAACAAAATCTCTGTTTACCCACCAAATCAAATTCAACTAAATAAAAATTTTCTCCTAGCGGTACATGCTCGCCCGATCCGTGTGAGTTTTTACGCAGACGACATGCTCTGTCTGACACTTCAAAAAACAGCAAAAGCGCGGGAAAATATGAGGCGGGAATATAGCATCCCTATCTTTCCTTTTTGTCTGTATTTTTATCTAACGATGCGTTCATCCATGAACTGTAAAATATTCGGTAAAAGCGTCGCCTAACACCATCTCAGAAATTGCCGCATAAAAGCATAATGTCAAATCTGTATTTGTTTTAACTATCTCAATGAAGCGCATAAATCTATACCTGGGGCAAGGAACCTTCATATATATCTAATAAAATGATCGCAAGCTCCGGGAGTGATGTTCGTAGAAGTTTTTCTTTTCCCTGCAGCGTTACTGTTTTCTTGAAATGAACTGTTTATTTAGTCTGCGTAAAAGTGCTGTATTGCGATCGATGTATGGAGCTGCTTCGCATCATCTTCAATATTTGGAAGAACTTCCTTTTGTTTTTACAAAATGTTCTCGTCAAAAGAAAACGGAATGGTCTTGAATGTATTCCTCGCATCATTGTTATTCCCTTTAATGATTAATCATAATATTGTGCAAAGGAAATCAAGTACGTTCCCTGACCCATTAATTTCTTTAATCATGTTAATTTTCATAAATAGGAAAACAAAAATACATTATAGAATAAAAGTATTGAACAAACAACGACATAGAATACCATTCAGGCATAAATATGTTGTCTTCTGCAATTATTGTCGTTCAAAATAAGGAAATAATTCGATCGATAAGCTGAACATAATTATTTGTTTCTTTTTTTCTCTCTTCTTCTATAACTTATCAGGGGTTATCCTTGTCTACCAGGCATGAGAACGGCATTGTCGTTTTGCGGGGAATTCTGGCAAGCTATCTTGTATACAATAAGGCTTGAACGAAACATGAGAATTAAATAGGCGAATACCATCCCCCCCCCCCCCACATGCTTTTTCCTTTGATCTTATTTCAATTATTTTGGGAGAATACAAAATAATTGATCTTATTGATCTTATTTCAATTATTTTGTATTCTCCCAAAATAAAATCTCTGTTTTTGGGGGTTTTATTGTTTGTTTGCTAGTTTTGTTTAGTTTTTCCTTTTTTTGTCTTCCTGTAAACTCCTGGTCACGTCTAACCAATAGATGGCGACACCTCCTCTCATATTCTCTTCCTCTCGAATAACCTTTCGGATGACAGGTATAAGTATTAGATCATCTTTCATCCCATCTCCTCTTATCTTGACACTTTCCCCAATTTTTATCCTTCAGTAACAACCCAGCATGATCCCACCACTGAATTTCCAACAAAGCTAATCATTATTTTACCCGGCCATTGACATTGACCTAAATGGATTGTACAAGTAATAAATCAAATTAAGATCAATTCACTGGAAACAGATCTACATTAGAATATCTTCACTTGAAATATGACTTTTGGTTGTATACGCTTGATGGATATGTTTTAATCAATCGAGAAAATATTGGCACGTGCAAGGTTGATCTTACTTTGCGTTCGCACTCGGGTTGTTCACGGATGAGTGCTGTTTCCATTGAGTGTCATACTGTGAAAGTCTCATGGCCACACAGATGTGCAGAAATCAACATTGATAATAACAGCTCACCTCTTCCCTTTTCTCTCTCTCTCTCTCTCCCTCTCCTCTCCCTCTCTCCCTTCTCCTTTTTTTTCTCTCTCTCTTCCTCCCCCCTCTCTCTCTCTCTCTCTCTTTCTCTTTTTTTATTTTGAAAAATCTGCAAGTAAGGGCACCTTTGCATATTAAACATGGTAGTGGTTCGAGAGGGGGGGGGGGGAGGGTGAAACCTCTCACCCCCCCCCCCCCTCCCACCCCCAAAAATAAAATCTCGAGGCACATGGTAGAAAATAAATGTGAGAACTCTCAAGCACCAGCTCCTGACGTTGTGATGTGTATTTTCCAAAACACGAATTAATTTAGCACCAAACTAAAAACACACATATTTTCTACTCGATGAATCATTATTTCAACATAGAAATCAAACGAAGTTGTATACTCACTTCTTTGGCATGATAAGCAGTGTCTCTTTAACCGCGTCGACTGGAGATGCGGGTTATGGGTTCGAACCCCATGCAGTATAACATTTAGGCCTACGTCCTGAAGCACTACGTTTTATCAACATTGCTTCCCTCCACCCAGGTGGCACATGGCTACCCATTAGGATGCGAAATCAATGTAATTATTTTGATCAGCCTTGTGAGTGCCTCAAGATCATCTGTCTGGAATGCTTCCCAGGAAGTGGAGAAAGTGCGGTCAAGCCTGGATCCGATGACTGGGGAAATAATTCAGCGCTTATAGACATCATAGATGTATTAGGCCGATATAAGTCCTTAATCATTGGATGCTAGTTAAAGAGTCATGGGCATTCTATCATCCAAAAGTGAGTCAAAAACATCGCAAAATGTAGACCTTGGAAAACATATAAAAGCCAGTTCATAGTTGCAGTCTTAGCATGAGCAGATAGGCCTATACAGGCCATTGCAGACCAAATTGTGAAATAGACGGAGACAAAATACTGGATACGTAATCATGAAAGTTATGTAATCATAAGCAGTGCGCTCCATGATACACAGGTGGAAGTAGTCTTTGAAAAGGGGAATGTAGCTGTGGCCCATAGCTTTACGCGGGGCCCCTTCTGGTATCGATTGCGTAATGTTGCATATAATAAGCACTAATGATCTTTCGATTTTGCGCTCTTTCTTTGCCGGTGCTCCTTGTTTAAAAAAAAAAAGTTTTTTTTCTTCTTCATTTTATCCCTCTTGATACAGAGAGATGTTGCCTATTATGTTGGGCCCCCTCTCCTGTCAGGCAATGATTTTTTTTTTTCATTCGTTGCCACTTTTCGGTTATTTGTTTTCTTCTGTCACCCCTCTCCTCTCCCGATCTCCATTGTGTCCACTTACTGTCCCCCCCCCCCCCCATCCCCCTGCCAGTGGTAATTTGAATTTCCAAATTTCGAGAACAAAAAGAATAACAATTAGTGCTCACTACCTTTCTTCCCCCCCCCCCCCCCCTTCCCCTTTAGTCTTCTTTCTTTTTGCCCCTTTTCGTTTGTGTTCCCCCAACTCCCGCCGTATATCATAGTGATGATATATCGTAGCTTGTTACACTATTTTTTGTGTGTAATGTCTTTTTTTTCCTTCCCATATCTTGTGATTTCAAGTAGAAAAAAAATATAACAGTAATCATTTCATCTAGTCGGATGCCTAAGGTTCCCATAAACACGGTCGACGCGCAAAGCATGTAACAAGCCCGACCATATAATTTCGAACAGACATGAGAGATATTTCAACTTGCGTTGGGCCTGTAAATAGGATACCCGCCCCAACCTTCAATCTAAAGGGATTCCGCCTACCCTTTTTTTAAATCCATTTCTGAGTAAATGTTCTGTAATTCAATTATTGCCCATGTGTATTTGTCCATTTTTCTTCTCTCATTAGCTGTGTACTTCTTTTTCTCAAATGAATTGAGAGAAGAAAAAAATGAGTAGGACATTATGTAGCTGCCATTTTCCCTTATAAAATTAGTCAAGATCTATCCTTCCGTTTCCAAAGGTTAATCGCTTGATTATACAGTAATCAATTCCATAGATGGCGATTAATTTAATTAAATTGCTCAACTAAAATTTTTCCCCATTTGTCCTTTTATCTTATTTATATTCTTCCAGAACGAGCATTGGTGTTGAGAGAACTGATGGAATCGTTAAAATAAAATTGATTACAGTCGATTACGTTTGACTTGTATGCCATTACTACGAGAAGTCACGATCTTGGATCTTGGATTCTTTTCCTCCTAAATACTCCAAAGAAGAGTTTTGACTGGAGGTGCATGGTGGAGGGTGGACGATTACATTTTAGAAAAAAGTTCTTTAGTAACTGCATTTTTAAATGAGAGCGGGGAGGTTTGGTCGATGGTTGCTTGTTGTAGGTTGTTCCATGTCTTTACAGTCCTTGGGGAAATATGAGTTGGCATAGACGTCCGAGTTGGTGTGGCGAATTTCAAATTGGTTGGAGTGTCCTAGCTCGTCCACACCTATGAAAATGGTTTGAACAAACAAAATAATGAATGACCGAAATTCCCATAATCCTATTTTTAGATGACAATCAGCAATTTATTGTCACCTAAAAGTCGGCTTATTTCTTTCAAACGGAAGACTCAGATAATTATGATTTTTTTTCTTTCTTCTTTTTTTAGCTTCATGAAAATTTTGTTTGAGCGCCACCTATAGTTTACTTTTGTACATAACCATACATGTTTACATAGCAACCCAGCTGCCAAGCTATACCGGTGTTAGCAACGCGTGTGATTGTGAATGAGCGATTCGCTCATGTAGGATTTCCCCTGCGACGACGTGCGTGTTGTGTATTCGATCGTGTGTTGTGTTCGCTTAGGATTTTAATACACAGTCAACCACATAAGAGATAACGCGGAAAAGCAATATGGCTCTCCCATTTTTACCGGGAAATTCGTTCACAGACCCAACGGTAAGTGTTACTTTAGTGTAGAATAATGTGTCTAATGATCTTTCATTCATTTTCTCTACAAGTGTTAATTTTTCAGAATGATTTGGATGAAAGTGGACGATCAAATTGAGAGGGGAAAATGTTGATTGTTGTCATGTTGAGTCTGAAATTCTGAACGATCTCAGATTCACCCGAATCACAAGCACTGTGTTTAAATACCTGCATGTGAATTGTGATGTTTAGTCTCCTCGATGATTGGAATGAAATCATTGTCACATGATTGATGAAGGGTAGTGTGATCGAATAAGTGATGATTACGATAAATTATCAAAACAAGGCTATTTTTGTCTCTTGACGAGTCTTGTGACTGTTGAATGACAGTGTTGTGTGTGCAAATAAAACTTCGCATGTCATGTCAGTTGATCATGTAATTGATGGAACTTGTGAGTAGACCTAGATCTAGATGAAGATGATCTGAATTCTGATCAGCAACAGCAATTTTGTTTTTGTCACCGGTTTGTTAGGGGGTGGTTCGTTCTCCAAATAAGCATCTTTAAATCCCGGCCCCCCCACTCAGAGGTCGAAATGACCGCATGCGTGTTGCCAAAATGTCCGGTAAAGGGGTACTTTTCGTGCGACAAAGTCCGGCCCGAGAATTGTAAAAAAAGGGGTGTATTTGACTTTTCACCCGGAGATTTCTTTAAAAAGGGGGTGTTTTTCTTTTTTTCTCTCATCTCTTTGGACTCCTGAGAAATTATTCCGAATTTAGGGGGGTACATTGAGCATTTTTCCTGATTTAGGGGGGTCTCCAAGGCAGGAAAAGCCCGCGAAAAACCCGCGAAAGGGGGGTTCGGAAATGTTGGCAGTCCTCAGATAGGGGGTGCTTTCAAAAAGAGGGTACGAGCATATGCGTACCCTAAATAACACTGAGTGGGGGGGCCGGGCTTTAAATGTTCCTACAAATCCTATTCCTAGATCTAACTTTAATCCTAGATCTACTTTATATTTAAAGTTTAAACTCGCATCTACAAACAAAGTTTTGATTCATCCAATTCAATTGTGACTGTGTTGTGATCAGACATTTTTTAACTTTGAATTTTGAGATCACATTATAATTGATTCTGAGTCTCAAATTCTAACATGCATGTTGATAGACCTAGATTTTATTTCAAGTTACTCCATCATACAATTGCAAAAAATGCTGGATCAAATATCACATTCCTGCATGTAGTGTGCATGTAAAAGAGCTTTAAATGTGTAGAGTTTGGACGCCATGTGGCTTTACAACTGCAAGCAGCTGTAAGATCAACCAACCTCATTATTTTATTCTCTCCCTTCAATTGCACAGCAACGCAAATTTCACAGATCCCAATCCCTCGGTTACAAGAACGGGTATGCCCTCCCAGCGAGGCCAGAGGTCGGTATCGGAGGTGAACCCCTAGAGGTCAACCAACTCACACTCTCAGAACTTGACGAACTGAACAACAAGAGACCCACACTGACCTACGGCCAAGCCAAGCAAGCACCACCAGAAGATTTTATACCAGCACATGTGGCTTTCGATAAAAAGGTGAGTTTGAGCAGGAGTTATGTTATAGATTCTAAGCAGTTGGGTGTTTCATGGTCCATGTTCAGAGTGAATCTTAATAGGAAGATGAGTGCTTTGCTGTGTTAAGACAAAATTTAGAATTATGCAGATCATATACTCTAATCATGTTTTACATGTTAGATTGTATCTGTTTAGGATGCAAAACTATCAATATAAACACAAAGCACTGTAAACTGTTAAATCTGTTATCTAGTATTTTTGAAGAGTCTCTAGAATTTTTCCAGGTTTTTATCACAGAAGAAAAGGTGTACCGGGTATAAAAAGTTTACCAACATACATGTATATCTCTCTTTCTTTAAAAAAAAAGTATGCTACAAGTGCTCATAATGTTATATGACAGCATGTATCAATTTTTCTTTTGTTTAAGTTTAGCAAATTATCTTTCCCTACATGTCTTCATAAGGACATGAGGTTTTCATGATTTACTTAATGTCATACATGCATATGATTTCTATTCTAGGTACTGAAATTCAATGGATTCTACAAGCAGACCGTCCATGAGTCTCCCAGCGAGTACTTCCGCGTCCGTCCCGTTATCCTCTACTACTACTTGGAAGATGACAGCATCTCCGTCATTGAACCACACGTGGAAAACAGCGGCATGCCTCAGGGCAAGCTCATCAAGCGCATGAGGTTGCCCAAGAACGACCAGGGCGATCACTGGCACTGGAAGGACATCAATCTCAACATCAACGTCACCTTCTATGGCAAGGTCTTCCACATCACAGACTGTGATAGGTGGACATCGGTAAGTCTTCATCCATTTGGGCCATTCAGTACAACATATCTGTTTGAAGCAAAAGATTTCTTTTTCTTCCTCTTCTGGTTTAAGGGATAAGTAGCCCATCACAAAGATGAAATGAGGATTACAAATGGTGTGAGGAAGACAAAATGATTTTTTTTTTTATAGTGGGTTTAATGCCCTCCTAGAAAAATCGACGATATCATCATTTAATGATGTTTTGCTCTGTATCCGTGCAGGTGTCATGACTTCACAAGTAGTGTCTAATGGGATAGGTTTGTTTGTTTGATATCTAATGTATTGTCTGAAAGGATACAGGTTCAAGCCACCTTACCACCAGTAGGAGTTTATTTTTACATGTAGAATGTTGAAAGTGGGCATAAAAAAGGATTTGTTAAGGTGTATTTATAATTGACTTTTTGAAGCCTTAGATAAGTTGTGGTTGTATCCCTTGGAAATATAGATTAATTTATTAGAATTGTCTGCAACTCTTTAAAATATTATATTTGCAGCATGGATTATTATTCACATCTTTGTGGCTGCTAAAGTCTTTAATACAAATTCCCCACAACTTTCCTATAAATTCATGTCATTTATCTATTGGCAAGTCTAAAGTGTGCACCAAATGAACATCTAAATCTCATTTTCAATCTTATATTGAGTATTACATTGTGCATCACATTGTGTAAATACTATGATTCTATAATTAATCTTCTCTATACCATGCCATTTTTCTCTTCTTGTAGGACTTCATGGCCAGTGAAGGAATTGAGCTGAACGCCCCTGTAGGTGCCCCCACCGACCCCTACACGGACTCCCGCAAGGAGAAGTCTGCCGTCGACGCATTCACCACTCCTAGTACTTTTGACAAACTCAAGCAGTTCCTAGATCTAGATCGCAAGGTATGATTGCACCCTGTAGTCCAACTTGTTTTTTATGTCACGTTAGATGCAACATCATAGTCTTGTTTTGAAGGTGCTATTTCATATTTGTTGTTTATGTACATGTATTACCGGTATGCAATATCCATTTAAAGTGCTTGGAACATCAAGATGACCCACAAAAACAAAGATGCAATAACTCTTACACAATTTTTTTTTTTTTTTTTTTGAGGGGGGGGGGGAATATTTTCTTCAAGTGGGTTTGTTATATGCGCTCAGACAGCAAAGAACTACAAAAGAGGCAAATTTCTCTTTTAATTGGCATGATAGTGTTTTTGCATGACACTTTCCACAGCAGTGATAGCAAAACGCTTTGTTGACCCATTGCTTTGAATAGAAGGAGGTGGAAGAATCCTGTGTGTAAGCGAATGAGGAATAGGTAAATTCAGTAGTCAACCGGTTAATAGAAATTAACCTGAGAACATGTGAGAGATGGTTCAGACTGTTTTCAATGCACTAATTCTCAAACTCCATCAAGAGCCTGCCAAGAGCTTCATTCCCTCAAAAAAATCTTTGATCACTCATTTCTACAATTGTCACACATGTATAATCCACAGGTTCTACGGTTCTTCTGCGTGTGGGATGACCGTAGCAGTATGTTCGGTGAGCAGCGCCCATTCATCATTCAGTACTACCTTGTGGACGACACGGTAGAGGTCAGAGAGGTCCACGACCCCAATGACGGCCGAGATCCGTTCCCTCTCTTCCTCAAGCGACAAAGGGTGCCCAAGGACCGTGACAACGTTGACTGTGAGTTTTTCTATTCAGTTTGTCTGTTGATCAAAGGGGTGCTTCAACACAGGCTTAATTTTGTTGATTATAGAGAGGAAGGGTTATGGTTGTGATTTAAGGTTTAGGGTTAGGTATAGTGTTAGGTCCAGGGTTGAAGTTCAGAATTTGATTAGTGTTCAAATTTGACTGCAGTGCAATTGTTGCAGGAGCGTGTGTGATAGACATAAATTATAGAATTCATGCTCAATACTCACTCATCAAGCATTATCCCCCTCCTCATACGTTGAAGTGAGAACATGATAGACATTGAATGTGTTACATGAGATGGTAATATTAGGTACTTATCCATAACACATGGCCAAACTGAGAAGAAATAGGGAAAGATTTGTAGAAATATAATTTTTCAACTGATTCCTGGCCATAGTTTCACCCCTTTTCCTCAGAGTCTGATTGAAAAATGAAGACCTTATCCCCAAAATTCTGGAACATGCATGCATTTTATCAGATTTTTTTTTTTCTACAGCTTTTTATTAACTTCATTTAATGTGGATATGATTTGAGTTTGACATAACACACATTTCCATAGACTTCAGATAAGGTTGTTTCAGGTGTTTCAGATGACTTTGTATCCTTCTTCTTTCCTGCTTTCTCTCCCTCTCGAATGCATATCACATTTCATTCCATTTTCTGTTTTCTCTTCACAGCCTCCTTCCGTGCCGTCGTCATGGAGCTCTCCAACCACGAGATCAAGGACTGGTACAACCCGCCAGACTTTGGTATCGGCAAGACCGTCTTCATCTACAACAGGCCATTCCTCATCTACGATGCCGATAACTTCACCAAGGCCTACATGCAGCAGAACTACGGAGTCCAGGGATCAGGCCCCATCAAGGTCTCTACAGAGGCACGCAATCTCGCCAAGATGGTAAGATCCCTTGATAATGTCTCCCTTGTGACGTCGTGATGTTTATGCAGGGATGCCCGTTTTTCAGGCCATAGCCTAATTTCAGACCCTGAATCCTCCCCATTCACAATTTTTCAGGGTTCATATTGGACAACATATACAGGACTCCAATATTCCAGAGTCACTGTTCATGCCTGGCACATAAATACCGGATATGAACAAATGGTGTCTAAACCTTGCGAAAACATAATCCAGCTGATAACTTGAATATCTTCATCTGATAAAATGATTTTGTACCGTTTCTTTTGCTCAGGATCTGCCGCCGTACAACGGATTTGGTTCGTACGAAGACTCGCTGCAATCCTGCTTGTCCCTGGTACCCCAGCCTCCCAAGAAAGACTTCATCAAGATGCTGGAGAACGATCATAAGATTCTGCGATTCGAAGCCATCATGGTAAGTGAACGTTCATGTACAGTCAAACCTGTCTATAGCGACCGCCCAAGGGAAACACATAAAGTGGTCTTTGTAGACAGGTTCCTTTAGTACATGTCTCAATGAGAAACCATTTTCAAGGGAAACAAATAATGTGGTCTTTGTAGGCAGGTGGTCTTTGTAGACAGGTGGTCACTAAAGCAGGTTTGACTGTATTAAAAATGTCCTTTGGAGAGATTCCTTCATCTACATGTACTTCTACTTAAGAAGTGGCAATGTATTGATGGTCAACCCCGTGATTATCAGATTATCAGATTAAATGAACAAGAAATCTTATCTGGATCATGTGTGGAATTCTATACAAATAGGAAAGAGACTTCTTCCCATGATTCTTTTCCAATTGCTTAATCATTTATTTAATGTAATATAAAAGGGGGAAAAATCCTAGTCTTTCATCACCAAAATTATCATATTATGTCTGCATAAGTCATTTATGAGCTTTTTAAAACTTGTAATCGACCAGATTTCAATGTTTTCTATGACTGTGAACAAGACTTTATTGATAACTTGAAACCAAGGCGATGTACAAAAGAATGTATTCCTTTTGCCATATGTACCTAACTGTGTTGGCTTCAGATTCGATTTTGATCATCGTTTCCTCTTTCCTCTTTGTCAGGATTCTGTGCGGCCCGAAGACAAGGGTCGTCGGTTCATCATCAGTTATCGTCTGGCCGACGACATGATCAAGATCTTTGAGCCTCCCGTCCGTAACTCTGGAATCATCAGCGGGACATTCCTTGAGAGAACGAGAGTGACCATGCCAGGCTCGACACCTGAGAACCCTAAATTCTATGGCCCACAGGTAATTGATTATTGTGTTACAGAAGGCTTCTGATTTAATCTGATGTTTTTGTATTGATGAATTTCATTAAAGACTGCCTGTACTAGTTTGGCCAAGAATTAGGTCTCCCTGTGAGGTCAATGACAGGTGGTTATCTAATCAAATCAGCTTTCAATTAACATTAAAAAAAGGGGATCATGAGGGACTAATGAGTACTGCTTAGGCATTGTTTGTTATATAGAGGGTGCAAGTAGCTACAAGTGTTGCAATTCCGCTTCAAAGTTCAGTAGTTTTATTTGTTGTGTCATTTCTCACATGGCATCTCCTGTCCCCTTTGTCTAACCTATAAGCTGCCTTTGATCTAGATAAATCATAATTTACTGCAACAGTAGGGCAATGTGGTGTAGTGGTTCATTTCTTTCTTTCTATTAATTGGAAGTCCTAGATTTAAACTTGGTGGGTAAGTCTGCTACCGATGCCCCAAGAAGAAATATTTTACGTAGAGTCTTCTCACATAATCTGGGAATAATAAGAGGGGCAGGCAGCGCTGCAACCGCTTTCCTGGAGCCAAGCTGACTCCAAACTGATTGAGAAGTCACAAAATATTGGCACTTTTCTAGGTTTTGCATGGTCTCTTGTCAGCCTCAATGGTGCGACTTGGGATATATACAATCTTTCAATGGATTCCAAACTTAACAGGGCTTCATGTCATCCATGTTAAATAGAAAATCAAGGAATTCTTAAAATTCTTATTCGGAACCATGTCGTCCTAACTAATTTCCATCTCTTTCCATGTTCATCGATCAGGACCTCACTGTCGGCTCCTGCCTTGAGGTATTCAACCACCGGTTCGTCATCACCGACGCCGACGACTACGTACTCAACTACCTGGAGGCTCACAGGCAAGACTTCCCAGGCTGCGAGAAGACCATACACAGTATCCAGGCCACCAGGGCCATGGGCCTGCCCAACAAACCACTCACCTTAGCATCGCAGAAGGGCGCCCCCATGACTGTCCAGAGAACGTAAGTCAACTCCTGGCTTTTTTGCAGGTTTAAACACACTTTTGCCCAAAGGCCTATGAATTTAAAGCCACACTGTACTACTTGTAGCTACTTGCTCCCTCTATATTGAAAACAATTCCTAAGCAGTGCCCTTTGGTTCCCCATTGTCCTCTTCTTCTTATGTTACTGAGAGCTGAGTTGATGAGATAACCACCTATCAGTGATCTTGGTGGGTGGTCTAATCCCTCCTGGCTAAACTAGTATAGATGGGCTTTAAAGTGTCTAATTTTCAAAATAATTGACAAATTGCTAGACATTTTCCCTCGCCAGAATTGCCATATTTTGTTATGTATGAGGAACCCAATGGCCTAAATACTGTGGACTTGCCCATTTCATTATTACCATTCTCATCCTTGTTATAATGGCATGTATACTGAACCTGCACATTATCCTCAAACCCTTTCCAGGCCCAACGACCTGAAACGACTCCTGGCAGAGGTCAAGGGTCAACTCCGCAAGGACAACTACATCAACTTCACCTCCTTGACCGAAGCGTTCCTGCAGTACGACCGTGATCGTTCCGGGAACATCGACGTCAACGAGCTCAAGGCTGCCTGCCACAAGCAGAACCTGCCCCTGGACGATGACGTCATGCAAGCGGTAAGAACCTTTGTCAGGATTGTGGGATGTGGAATCAGTCTTGAATAGTTTTTCATATATCTTTAGTTTACCCTTACCATTAGATTGGGTTTCTATGAGGGAAATTACCTGTCTTGCCACCTTCAAGAGATCCCTCAAAACCGACCTTTTCCCCAGTGATCTATGTGATCTCTTTCCTGTGAGACTGTACATTTTTTGTCCTCTTTTCATATATTTGTATCTGTAAGTGCTTATAATACTTATAATATGGTTATGGTACTTATAATTTTTAGCGCTCCTAGATATTCAATATTGTTATTATTACATTCAGTTGTTGGTGGATCTAAATGATTAAGGGTGATCCTGAAAGTAATTAAGGTATTGTCATTGTGTATGGTGGCCAGTAGTGCACTTGTAGTCATGGAAAATAGCCTAACTGCTATGACTTTCTCTCTGAAGTTTTATTCTTGATGCTATTCATGATTAAATGATTACATGTTTGTCATTCATACTTTTCATGCTAATGGTTGATTATTATTGGTAATAACCAATCATCTTATTCCCTCTCTTTTTCTTCCCAACAGTTGATCGCAGAGTGTGGTGACGAGAACGGCAGAATAAGCCACGCAGAGTTCATGAAGTTCTTAACATGGGACTAAGGGCAACAAGCCAATGGAGAATCCACACTGTCTTGACCGTTGTTCCACAACCCGACAGGTTGATTGCAAACCTTAAGAGAAACACCCCGGGATAGGATTGTGGACAAGCTATGAAAGCTATGAAGCTAGAAACACTTGTACAACACTATTTTAATCCGTTTACAGAAAATGTTGACATAAGAATGGTGACACTAAAACTACATAAAAAAACCACTGGAGTATACAAGAAAATAATTGTGCACAGTGATAAATCAATATACATGTAGGAAAGAAAATGCTCAAACTTAGTTGCATGTTGTTAAATATTGTACAAGATGAACTATTTTTCCTCATGTGTCGTTATATTCCTCACAAAAAAAAGTCATCTGTTGAACCTATCAGAGACAAAATTGTTTTTCTTTGCAGCTGTGAGCTCATGATAGTTTTCTGTTTTTGTGTCTTAGAAAAGAGAGCTATACATTCAAATCAGTGACATTATCTGTGTACAATGAACAGTGGAATTCAAAATCCTATCTTTTTCTGCATGAAATTAAAATCCGTCCTTTGTACTTAAGTTTGTGTGTCTTTTTAGCATTCACAGCATTTTATGTAGCAATAAACACAACCTTTTCCATATGATGCAATGTATGAACTGACTTTTAAGAGTCAGAATTACCATCTATGCTAGCCTTGACAAATTCCATCCATTTCTTCTTCAGCTTGCGTTTTTTTTACTCGCAGTTGTGCCGTAGAAAAGAAAACTATGCATCAAGATATCACTTTCTGCAGACAATGCAAATTAATATATAGTGCAACTTCTACTCCAAATGATGAAAAAGCATGTAAATAAAAAATCTTCTTACATTCTTTCATCAGCACATGGTTTGCTTTTTGTCTTCAGTCAAAAACAAAAGATCTCCAAGAAAGATCACTTTTAGAGCAAGAAAGATCACTTTTAGAGCATGAAATATGTAATATTTGTAAATAAATTCTGAAACTATTGCTATTTACTGTGCAACTTATTGTGCATCCGAGTAAAATTAAAAGCGACCAAGTTTCAGAGTAGTTGTATAGAAAGAAAAGAAACTTCATGTTTGACTATTTATGCAGCACTTAATTTTTCATAAAATATATCTATTCTTATCTATTAGCGTATCAATTTACTTCTTTGTCATAGAAGTGTTAGTAATAAATTCTATTTTGTGAATATTGGAAATGACTGTACATTGAATTTTAAAGATATTGTATCAATAAATTGTACATGATGCTGTATTGTGTAATTCTACCTGTCTTCCCTAGATTTCAATATGCCATGTACCGTGATGTAGAGGAGATTTTGTTCATATAAAATATCATCAGGAGCTTTATACGGAGCCAGTAGAAGACAGAGAGAGAGAGAGAGAGAGAGAGAGAGAAGAAAGGGACAAAAAAAAGAGTGGAAAGACACACACCTGGGGACAGAGAAAAAAAGAAAGGGACACAAAAAAAAGTGGAAAGAGAAGGGGAGAGAGAGACAGAAAAAAAAGAGTGGAAAGAGGAGAGAAACAGGGAAAAAAGGGGACAGAAAAAAAAAGAGTGGAAAGAGAAGAAGAGAGGAAAAGAAAGGGACAGAAAAAATAGTGGAAAGAGAAGGAGAGAGGGAGAGAGAGAGAGAGAGAGAGAGAGAGAGAAAGAAAGAAAGGAACAGAAAACGAGTGGAAGGAGAAATATAAATAATATCAGTTTTCTGAAATGACTAAAAGAATTAACAAATAATGAAAGGAGGGTTGATTCAACTTCACATTGATTATAGGAAAAGACAAAAGAAAAGGGATGAAAAACATAAAAAGGTGGCAGAATACGGTTAGCTCTTGAAGGAGGTAAATAGAAAACAATACAAATTGAGAATGATTATGATACAAGATGGAGAAAGGATGAAAAAGAGACAAAAAACAAGGACAAGGTAGCTAGGTATGGAATAGCTGAGAAAACATTAGAGGGCAGTGTGGGAAAAATGAATGAAGATGACTTGGTACACATGTATTAAGCTGAAAGAAGAGAAGAAAAAGAAAGATGCACTAAATCTATGTACATGCTCAAAATGGTGAATTGGTCATTTGACAATTATATCATACCTGGGGATTGCCGTTTCCTGATTGCATACTAAGTATCAAGTTCATTTTTCTTCTAAGTAACGTCTCCCAAGTGGGCTGTAATCAAGATATGAAGTGGTTATCAGTCGTGTCTTGGTTTTGTTGTGGCTTGGTTGAAAATGTTCATCTACTGTAATTGGGATTCAACTTTGTCCATCATGCTGCCAACCCCCACCCCCTACCCCTTATTCAAACTTCTTGCAAAGTCCCTGCACTCCATTTAACTCTTTTGTACAAGCTGGATTTCATGAACTTCTTTTGAAGGAAGAGAAACAATTATCTGATCATCCACACAAACAGAAACTTCAGGACTCATGAAATTTGATGGAACATTTTTTTGTTTTATTTATGTTTTATTTATGTTTCATTACTCGCCCAATTACAGAATGTAACAGCAAGATATCATTAATAATATTAATAATACATACATACATACATACAGAAATCAAAGAGTAAAATGCATTCACGGTGACAATCTCATTTGTCAAACATAGATTCCATTTTTTCCCCATTTTTTTCATATTTTTTTTCTTCAAAATCATTTGCACTTTGCAAATAAACATAAAATCATGAAAAAAGAAATCAATACAATTATATCGACATATATTTTGATTTCACAAAATGAGTTAGAAGATTCTTGTTCTCAAAAGAACATGATGGGACATAGAAACATTGAACAAACAAAAAACAAAAAACAAAGAAATCTGTATGATACAAATATTTCATATAATTATTCACATAAGTTTCTCTCTGTACAAGTTTTTATATGTGGCCTCTGCCAAAAAACAAAACAAATGTTGTTGTTTTCTTTGATGCAAAATTAAAAATAAACATAAAAAGAAAAGCAAATGAGCAAGTTTTCTCTGCTAATGCAATACATCGAGATGAAAATCTAATTTCCAAAACGCAATTTGCTAATACACGTAGCTTTATACTGATTATCAATGAAAACACAATATACTATAACGGAAGTATGTACAAGCAACACAATGTCTAGCCTAGGCCGTAATTTCCTTAGAGCGCCTTTTTATCTGTGTATATACATAAAAACACACAACACAAATAAAGCCATATCCATGTTGGAGTTTAAAGAGCAAAAGTAACTTTTAAAGCAAGATGTTATCAAATCTTTAAGTGGGACGAAACTTAAATTATTTTTAAAATGAGAGCAGCCGCACTATTGGATTTTTGGGGCACGAACAAAAAAATAATCGTTGATGTCTACATGTAGGAAATTATCAGTTGCTTGATTGCTGTTTTATCACGTTTTCTGGGTTGTAAAAAAAACTTCTAGAAAAAGAAAAGTCATAATGATAATGCACGCACATATAGTCACTATGCAAAAGGAAACATCACAACCTCTGAAACTGTCAGTTATCTCAAAAATAATTCTGTGGGATAAGCATAAGCTCCATCCATTACAAAGATTTTCAGAGTCTGTGCAGCAGTGTGTATTAAAAAAAATTGGCAAATTTCTCCTTGCAGTAAGACAAAATTTGATCATATAACTATTCAGGTTTGAATTGTCATGAACTAAAAACAAATAGTCTCCCGTTATTTTTACTGTCAGTATAAATCACTTCTTTTTACTTGTTATCGAAAAGCAACGACTTCACTGTGGTACAAGATTTTGGTATACCGGTATTAACTCTTCAAAACCAGTTTGAATTTCACCAATTATCGTAACTGATATTATACTTCTACATGTGAGTGCATCCACACAAAACAAGGACACTTAGAAAGAAAAACTTGCTCTCGATTCATACAATACATACTGTTCTTTCAAAGTGATATTTTACAATTTATCAAAATGTGCCCCACTAATTGGTCATATTTGGTGGGAAGCTTCACAAATAATGTCAAATTCGCTCTCTTAGTTGAACATTTTCCATCTTCTAAATTTTCTCTTTTTTTTTTTTCAGCGACAGCATTTCTATAGAAAACGTGTAATGCAGCAGTTTTCAGAATGATGTGAAAATTTTGAATGTCAATTTAAAAAAAGGAAAATTTCTATGAGTCTTGATCAAAAACTTAAAATAAATGAAAATTGGCCATTCTTAGCATGAGATAATTTCTAAAGAGTTGATAGAAATAAATCATGATTTAATACCTACAAAAATAATGTGATAATGTATCTAAAAACTCATGGCAAATCCATAAACAAAATACTCTAATAAACTAATTGAAAAAAAGGAACAGGGGTACTGAATATCATTTCAACGTACATTGTGTCTTGCATGACCGAGTGTTAAAATTGACCAAATTATATAAAATATTATTAAAAAATAGAAGAAATAAAATGGAAAGAGATGTCAAAATCATTCTATTACTTTTAGAACTAAGATCATAGACTCTACCTCCTGATATTTGGAGGAACTTGCACACAAAATTCAGAAGAATCTACTGCTGAATCTTCCGTGATAAATTACACGGATATCTTTACTTCTCGGCAGAGTTTTTGGCATATTTACAAAGTATAGGGTGAAAATAATGACAACAACAAGAACAAAGAGATAACGTTGGAACATCTTGCAAAACAGAGAAAATTAAATAAAGAGGAAGAAATAAAGATCTTTCATCAAATTTCTGCTTCATTTTTTTTTTTTTTTTTTATACTCTGGATAATGCAGGGAAGCAAGTAGGTGGAGGATACATGCAGAACACATAATTAGTTTTGTTTCAGCATTTTAATTCACTCAAAAAAATATCTGAGCATTCAAAAACTCTCTCTATCTCTCTCTCTCTTTCCCTCTCTCTCTCTCTTTCCCCCTCTCTCTCTCTCTCTCACTCTCTCTCTCTCTCTCTCTCTCTCTCCGCTCTCTTTTGACCTATATATTTCTCTCTTCCGTTCATTAGCTCATCCACAATCAGTCTCATATAAAACATTGAAATAATTATATATTCATATATTCATATTTACAACCATGTATATAATCATTCTGTACATCCACCTGTGGAACACAATCTTGGTGCAAGAGAAGAGAAGAGGAAGAAAAAAAAGAGGAAGAGATGTAGAAAGAGCGAGAGGGAGAGATGGGGAGAACAGGAAGGAGTTTACACCATCACTCTCTCTCCTACCGTAATTCATTATCTCTCAAGTTTTTGGAAGAAACTATTCTTCAAGAAATTCATATTCAGGCTTCCCTCCCAAATTAAAACAAAACTTAGTGAATAGAATAATGATCAAGTTTCCCTAAATCAAACCATTCATCCGAAACCAAGACTCCCTTTTAACCGAGACAACAAAGGAAAGACAAAATCAATTTGAAGTCATTCAAAATTGATGGATATTTAAATACCCAAACAAACAAAGAAATATATCTATTTGTTGGTGGGTAATTCCAGCAGATAATGCCCATCTCTTATGGTCTCATAGACTCAAAGAAATGGTCACATTCTACTACATTCCAAACATCATATTGATTTATATCAATCAATGTAATCATGTCTGAATTCAAAAGTGTTCTAAAAGTCCCATAAGTTGAGAATTCAAAACAAAAAAATACAATTTCACAATCTTTTCCACATTTTCTTTTCTCTTTTTGTTTTCATTCCACGAGAGAGAGGGTTATATTTTTGTTCCCTGAGATCATCTAACCTCTCTTCATTAAATTTCATAAACATGTACAACTTTTTCAATCAGCTTTCATGTTTCTTATAAGAGAACTTTTGGGGTTTACATCTTCTTCTTCGATCATTAGTTCATGCCTGTATTACTTTGTAACTCGTATTTTCTCATGTTTTTGAAAAAGGAAGATAGCTGTACAGAAAAGCAGAGGAGAGTAATACGGTACGATAGAATGTACGTGATGTGAATACACAATAAAACCATTTGAACTTGAAACATCTTCAATGCTTAATGTAAAGTGGATTTTGCTTTAACACGCAGTGCTGGATGAAATAAACAACATCCATGGCTCCAAGTCATAACCATCATACTAAACAAATCAAGTTAATATCGAAAGAGTATGATGGTTGTGTTCTGTGTATTGTACTTGGTGGTATAACAGGTTCCTTTTTAAAAGTAGGATTTGTAGGTGATAAGATGAAATGTCATACCCGTTGCCAACCTTCGGAGGTGCGTTCATACACAAATTGCTACTGTGGTGAGAAGTGAGGGACTATGCATCAAAACATTTCACCAAACAGCATGTCGTACTGTTGTGATCTGTGAAACATTTCTTTTTCTCTACTCAAAAGTCTATACATCTGGCTGTTTCCGATATATAGCCTACAGGGTTTGAGAAAATGCAGGAGTCGACGGGTTAAGAACCACAGGATTAGATGAAACAAATCTTGTGAAGAAATCTCCATGTTTTGGATAGATACTGGAGAATTCAGGATATAATGATCGATTCGACTCTTTTCTTTTCTTTTTGTTCATTCAGAAACAGTGGAGAATCTAAAATTTAGTTAGTTTTGTATCCATGCATGGTGAAGGGCAAGTGAAGGTTACAAGCAGCTCATGGTATACGATACACACGTACGACAATGATTGTGGTTTGCAAGTCTTGATGAATGGAATTAGGATGGGTTTAATATCAAAACCATCTGTGGAACGATGAAGCTATTATAGAGCAGTCTCAATCTAAGAGCAGTTTCTGAAGTAGGCTGCCCTTTCCATCCGCATCATGGCCACCCATCTGCAGAGAGAGAGAGAGGCGATGGAGGAAAGGAGAGAGAGAGAGAGGGAGAGAGAGAGAGAGAGAGAGAGGGAAGAGAGAGAGAGAGAAGAGAACAGAGAGAGAGAGAGAGAGAGAGAGAGAGAGGATAGAGGAAGAAGGAAAGAGGGAGGGGAAGATGGTAGAAAGCGAAATGAGAGAAAAAAGGGAATCCTTGATTAGGACATGTTCATCACATGATCTGAATTTTCTAATGTAATTTAATAATAGTTATAACATTGATAATACTCTTAATAATAAGATTTTAATAGAGATTTTTTCAAATATATTTAGAAGGAAAATAATCACAAATAATACAGTACTATTAGAATTCAAAGAGAGTAATAACCCGAAAATGCAATTTTTCAAGTTTTGGAAAATAGCAAAATATCTAAATGCTGGCTCTGCTTTTGATGTAACAGGGATGAGGACAGACAAATTCCCCAAAAGGAGGAAGATTAAATAGGGTCCGCAGAAAACTTAAAGGTAAAGACCAGTATTGGAAACGCCCCAATTTCAAAAAATGAAATGGAAGCTCTTATTACCAATCATGTGAAAGAATATGTTTTGACTAATAAATGATGATAAAAAATTTGCCGGGAAACCGCCTACTAATTGATATATTTGGTAAATTAGTTTATCTATTGGACTGTGAGAAATAAACGCACGTGTCGCGCACGTGTGAGTAGTCCCATTTACATCTTTCTGTGAACAGTGCTTGTAACTTTACAAAGACTGGGCCAAATTTCTTATCATTTTGATGATTCCAGAACCTTGCAGTACACACCAATACGTAAGCTAGATGATCAACCTTTTCTGATCGATTCCACAACATTTCTTTCACAATGCAATTGCATGACCATAACTGGTCTTTATCTTTAAGAATACATATATGTAACACATTTTCCATGCATTTAAATTCTAAATTTGGGATTAACATTGGTCAGTTGAGAGAAAAAAGGTAGTGAGGTCTATGCTAAATGTACAATTAATGATAATCTGATATTTTTTTTTTCCAGTTTTTTTGTCTGTCTTGAAATCTTGAAATAGGCGGAGAAATCTCATCCCTGATGTAATCAGTTGTCTCCCACAAGACAGGACATCAGAGGTTGTAACCATCCTAACTATGCATTCAAAATTGTCGAACAAATAAAGCATCACTGCTCATATAGAGTAACGCATTCATGTATAAGTTGGTGGGTGTGGGTGTGGCATGGCAGGTCATTCAGGGGGGGAGGGGGGCATCATCTTACCTCATCACCTCCGTTTGGGAATCCTCCTGGCCCCTGTCCTGGCATCATACCCCCTGGTCCCCCCGTCCACCGGGGTTGGCCCCTCCTACCCTCTGCCTGAGCTGGTTGCGGAACAGGTTGGAGGCACGGGTGGTGGCGTCAGGTGCGTCCTTGGCATTGGAGATCTCAACAAATTCCTGCTGGAATAGACAGTGGATTTAATGTATCCATCTTCAAAACAATGTATACAGCTTACTTGCTATTCAGCAGAATGAGTATTAGGCCTTTAAAAAAGATGTTGTATTGCCCTTTAGGTGCCAAAACATGGGTCGGTCGGTCAGAAATCTTTTTTTTAAAAACTTTTTTCCTTTCCCTCTTTGGGCTTATATTTCTCAGTTTTGAATGCTTTAAAGTTATCGTTTAACAATGTTAAATCTGAGATGCATGGCCCTAAGTGTTATCAGTGTCTGTGATTTGGTGTTATATTGAAGCCAACAAAAACTTCAAAATGATCAAGAAGTGCCTCAAAAAAGTAAAAATCTTCTAGTGACCTGTTTTAACATACCCGGTACTTGTTTTCCCCAATAGACTGTAGTGTTATAAAACCGTTGGGAGAAGGGTTTTTGAAAATTCTAATTCTAATCATAAATATCTTGATAATCAGACAGGTGATCGGCTTGTAAACGTCATGGGATTCCCGACTGACCTAAAGCTTCATAATTATGATTGAGGCATGAGCTAAATCCAGGACTTTGTTTCAGAATCTGAGACAAAGATACCCAATCCCTTTAAACAAATCCCTGGCAAGAATCCTGAGTGTCATCCTCAATGTCACACTGTTATTACCTGATATCTTTTCCTGGCATCCTGCCTGGCCTGGTTCTCTGCATACGATGAAGAGGGGCCACCTTGACGTACCGGTCCAGTGCTGTCTGGCTGGCTGACGTAGCTATTGGTCTGCTGACCTTGACCGGGACCGGGACCCATACCCTTGCTTGCTTCCATCCCAACGTTCTTCTCATCCTTGTTGTAAGCTGAACAAGGGAAAAGAGAGGAGGAAATATTACTTTTTTTTAAATACCAGTCATGATTCGGTTGGATGTATCAAGCAGTGTTTTATGTGCTAAGTAAGATAATAACCTTCACATTGTTAAAAAAGATAAAGGTAAATAATTTGCAGATAATCAAATGACAGGGCATATGGAGCTATTAATATCCCCCCCCCCCCCCAAAAAAAAGGGTTTTTTTTTGGTATACCTGTTTCTATACAAAAAGTTCACAGGCTAGTATCTAAGAATTTAGTTGTACATTCATTTTCCATTTTAAATACAATTTTTACAAAAATGTTATCACATATTTGATCAAAAGCTATGACAGGTTATTACATTAGTACATTTTTTTCTTCAGATGCTATTACACATCACGTCATATATCATTATCACTGTTACAGTATAGTGTTATATTATTCACTCAAAATCATTTAGGGCAGAGCATGTAATTAAACTTGCAGCATAATTATGTGTGACATGACGTTTTATTCACCAAAATCAAAGGAAATTGAACCTCCCCTGCCCCCCCCCCCTAAAAAAATAATAAAAAAGAAAATGAAACACAATTATTTTGTGTGACATAAGGTTTTATTCACCCAAATAAGATGAAATAAATCCTCCCCAACCCCCTAAAAGAATTCATGAACAAAGTCAGAATCTTTCAAAATATTCCTATAAGTGCGACTTACATGGATCAAGAAGTTCCATGGTAATTCCAAGCATATCGAGGTCTGGTGCGGAGGGTGTCATATTATTAGCCCCTGGTCCAACTGGTCTGCCCATGTTCCCTGTTGTTGCTCCAGCAGGCCCAGGATTCCCCCTGTAAGCCCCAGCACCACCCATGTGACTCGTCTGCTACGAGGAGAGAGAGAGAGAGCAGGTGATAGAATTCATTAAAATGTTTAAAATTACCTTGCCTGGGCCATATTTCTTATCATTTTGATGACTCCAGAACTTTGCAGTACACACCAATACTTCCACACCGTTTCTTTCACAATGCAATCGCATCAACTCTATCTCCAAACACTGAAACATTGAAAGTAGTTTGGTAAACTTGAAGGTTTGAGAAAACAAGAGAGGGGAAGAAGATGAAGAGAGTATAATAAAGGGACAAGGATGGAGAGAGTGTCTATTTCAAAAATTGGGTTTATATTTCTGACCAGATACAGATGAAGGAATAAGAGAGAATAGTAATGAGCACATAACATGCAAAACAGGGAAGGGAAAATAATGAAAGGCACATAAGATGACTTGCAACATTCTTGATCAACTAATAGTAATGGGAAATTTGATAAAACCAAATCGGACACTTCACATTAAAAATGATCACCATTTTCTAGTGTTTCCATCATGAGGATTTGGATTAAGGATATGAAATTAGGATTGTCAACGGGCTTATAGTAAAGTTCAGTTGTTAATTGTACAATGATCCACATTAAAGCCCTTCTGTACTAGTTTGGCCAGGGGGGAATTAGACCTCCCTGCATGGTCACTGACGGTTGATCATCTCATCAAATAAGCTCTCAATTAACATAAGAAAAAGGGGACCATGGGGGACCAACGGACACCGATTTGGCATTGTTTGCTATATAGAGGGCTCAAGTAGTTATAAGTAGTGCAGTGCAGCTTTAATATAGCTCCTACAAAATAAAAGTACTACTAACAAAATAAATAAATACCTGTCCTGGGCCACTGGCAGTCGAGGGGGCGCTGGTCGTCGACGTCACTGCCATAGTCTTCATCACCTGCTGCTGTTGTTGCTGCTGTTGTTGCGGTTGTTGTTGCTGCTGGTTTTGTGTGGTGGGATGTGGGATTTGTTGTTGCTGTGTTTGTTGCTGAGGGTTCGCGGAACTGGTGGTGGTGGGCGGGGTCGGGGTGTTGCCATTGTAGCTCATACTGGCTAGGCTTGGGAGGTTGATTGGGGTGGGAATGGAGGTGGGAACTGGTAATCCCGGCCTTATTCCGCCACCAGCCTGTTATGCAATCACAAGGAAATAGAGCACTTAATAAATTGACAACATCAAGTACATACATTTTCAGGCATATGGACTTTAAAAAAAGGTGCATGTTAATTGGCATTTTGAAAAAAAGCCTACAACTTTGAGTGAGTTGAGATAAAAATAGGATTATTTTGAAATGTAGACAAGTTATTTTTTTACAAAGCACATTCTTTGACATTCCTTGACTGATACACTGGCTAGCTATATGCTCCCTTATTATTCAAATCAATTAATTAAAATTTAAATAAATTTGACCAAAGCCTGGCAATAGACACAGCATTGTAAATGCAATGAACTATATAAAAAATGTTTTAAAAAACTCTGTAACTGAATACATTTGGCCAATGCACATCTTACTGTGTGTATGTGTATGTTTTTAATAAGGTACACACAATAAGTAACACAAAACCAGGTACACAGATAGGAGATGGAAGGGTATGAAAGTCATATTAGCTGTAGCGGCATTGGACAGAAGAGAAAGGCAAGACTAGATCAACATGGCGATCACTTTACCTGAGTTGTAGTCATGTTTCCAACTGGTGTACGCCGATTCCTAGCAGAGCTGGTTAGTTCCATGTTGGGCTGCATACCTCCGAACATGTCAGGTCCCATACTGCCTTGTCCCATCCCCTGTGACATGCCTCCCGGTGCCATGTTTCCCGGTGCACCACTCATCTGCTGCTGGTTCATTCCTGGAGGTACCATTCCCTGGTTACCGGGGGTGCCTTGGTTGGGGTTCATCTGACCATTGTTCCACCTCATGTTGCCTGGTGTTCCCGCCCCGGGACCGGTGGACACCGGCATCTGCCCCCCTCCACCTGCCATCTGGCCCCCCTGCATGCCCGCTATACCGGGAGCCATCCCCATCGAGTTCGCCCGTTGGAGTTGCGGTTGCTGCTGGAAGGGTTGTCCGTACGGCTCTGGTTCCATGTTGCCCGGTTGCGTCATCTGCTGCGGCATGCTCAGGCTTCGGCTCAGCATATGTTGCTTCATCCCCATGGCGCTCATGCCATGCCCCTGGTTCAAGTTCGGACGGGGGATATTGGGGTTGATCCCCGTCGGCCTCATGCCCCCCATGCCGGGATGCTGGTTGGGGTTCATACCCATCGATCCCTGGCCTGGGGGCATCATGTTACCCATGCTACCCATCCCTGCAAAGTCCTGGGGGTAGTTCTGCCCCCCTTGGTAACCCATGTGCTGGCTTTGAGGAGGCATCATCTGGCCAAACGACGGTTGCCGGAAGTCAGCACCTGGTGTTCTGTGGGGGTACTGCTGGGGACCACCACCCATTTGATGCTGCCCCATTCCTGGTCCTCCACTCATAGGATGGTTCATCTGGTTGGGGTACATCATCTTCTGTTTCTGGGGCTGGACATAAAAATGGAGAAAAATGAAATGATCACTTTCAAAACATATTCATATTTATTTCCAACAGGAAGGTAAACAAAGATATTACATTTTTTTTTTCATACATAATTCATTTTTCTGGAAACTATACAAATACACTATGCACATAATAAAATTATTACAAGAAATTCTTTATTTCTGAGGAAATGGGGGGGGGGGGGGTCCACTAAAAAGCAGTGCTTGTAGTTTGTGGATCCCCCAAAAAAAATATATATAATTGTTATAAATTTTGCCCATGAAGACTTAGAAAACACAAGAAAATATTACAACAACAACAAACAACCACGAAACGAGCAAGGAGAAGTAAAACAGATAAGAAGAAAAAGGGAAAAGGGGGAAGAAGGAAGAAGGAAGAAGCAGGACATATCTCTTGATATAAAATAAATATAAAAAATGGTCATAGAACAAGCATGAAGTGCAATGTTCAGTCCTCAAATTGATCTTTTAAAAATCATGCAATAACAAAAATTTGCTGTTGGGCAAACACTCTCCTGAATATAAAATAAGCAGAAAACACGTAAATCCATAGATTTTCATCTCTACAGAATTTTCTTCTTTTCTATTTCTTTCTAAAATCTTCAGTGAACATTCAATTTCAGATATGTATAGGGTCATGCCAAACAACTCTGTTTACATGAAGGCTCCCTGATACAGCTACCTCAATATGAGGGGAAATTGTTCAACAGAAGAGAAAAGTGAGAGATTTGTAACATGCAAAATCTCACCTGAATGCTAACATTAGGTGGAACAATGTTGTTTGAAGAGAATTCACTACTGTACACAGGTGAATCCATCTGAATAGAGTGAAAAAGGAAAAATGAAATGATTGGGTTATAATAGATACTCAAAAATAAATCCCCTGACAGAAAAACATGGAGTTTTAAAGTAGCTGAAATTAAGGATATATTTGAAATCATAGTTAGTGGGGGTTCGATATAACTTGTAAAATGAAGGAAACAAAAAGAGTGGAAATATCATGAAGAACAGGACAATGTAAGAATGATGAGGTTTTTTTAGTAATTGCTCCCAAAGTACAATGATGGATACAGTAAAGAAAGGAAATATAATGAGATTTTCAACAATCCAAGAATTTATCTTTCTCTACTAATGCTTCTCAAATAAGAATGGAAAAAAATAAAATGATTTCCTGAACCCCTAAACCACCATTTTTTAACTTTACCACCACAATTACCTTTAATCCCCCTCTTTTAAATTCTACAAGTTCTTACTTGATAAAGTTCAATGACAAATATTATCATTTTTTTAATTATGAAGCCTCTATGAATTATCGTAAGTTTCTGTGGCTTTTATGTAAGTGTGAAGAGTTATGAAGAAAGATAATAGATGTCCCTAATCCACCAGAATATAGCCCTTCACCACTACCCCTAACTTGACAGAAAATGGCAGAAACTTTTCAGCTCTCAATGCCATCTATAATCACTTTTTTGGTGGTGGTTGCAACTTTTCCCGCGCCACCGACCTGTGGTCCTGAAAAGGTCTGTTGTTGCTGTTGCTGGTGCAGCATGATGAGGTTCTTTTGTTGTTGTTGCTGCTGCTGTTGTTGCTGTTGCTGCTGTTGTTGCAACATCCTTTGTTGTTGTTGTTGCTGTTGCTGCTGTTGGGCCTGTTGCTGCTGAAGCATTTGTTGTTGCCTTTGTTGTTGTAAGTTCCACATCTGCAACAAGAGCATGACATAAAAAGACTTGTTTTTCTCGAAAGACAAATCTTTGCTTCCTTCGCTTTCATTAAAGCCATTTCCAAATAAATTCTTAAGCAGCCTTTCTAGAAAAACAGCAAGTGAGTATACTAGTCCTCGGTTCCTACTTTGCCCTTCAAAGACACTAAGAAATGAATAAACATACACTAAGAAATTCTATTTCTATTGTAGTTTCAAATGAGTCTCTACTCGGTTTAAACTCATTATTCTGGAGCTCAGTCATCAAAGAACATGAATATTATCCAAACAATTTTTTTAAATAATATGAAAACTGTTCTCTAATGAATTAAAAAAATAGCCATGTGTGAATGCAAACACTAATGAACCTTATACAGTCAAACCTGCTTTAGTGACAACTTGTCTACAACAAGTACATTTTTTGTTTCCCTTGAAAATGGTTTCTCATTGAAACATGTACTAGAGGAACCTGTCTACAAAGACCACCTGTCTATAAAGACCACTTTTTGTGTTTCCCTTGGGCAGTCGCTGTAGACAGGTTCGACTGTTGTTTTAAAAGAATCCCCACCACTACCAAACCAAACTAACCTGTTGCTGTTGTGGCTGCTGTGGCTGCATCATCTGGTGCTTCTTGGTCTGCTTGAGCATCAACGCAGCTCTCAGCTGTCTCTGCCTGGATGGATACATCCCTGGTCCCTGCATAGCACCACCAGGTCCACCAATGCCCTGCCCCATGGCATGTTGCTGCTGGCCTTGTTGCGGGGGCATCCCGTAATTCCCCTGCCCCATGTGCGGAATGTTCGTTGGCGTCGGATACCTTGGTCCCTGACCCTGCGGCCCACCCATCATCATCCCTGGCATGTTCTGGCCAGGCATGCCCATTTGTTGTTGGTGCTGTTGCTGTTGTTGCTGCTGCTGCTGTTGCTGCGACATACCCGGTTGTTGTTGCTGCTGGGACTGATACCCTGGCATGCCTGGGTTGGGGCCGCTCATCCCTGGCTGGAAGCCTCCTTGCGGCATGCCTGGACGCCCCACACCCGGCTGAGTCAACAGATCTGTGATAGGTGACACTCTGGTGTCCATGGTGCCTCCTGGACCCTGTCCTTGAGGACCTGGTGTACCATGCTGGCCAGGATGTTGGCCAGGATGTCCCTGCTGATGATGCTGCTGCTGAGGTTGCTGTTGCATTCCTCCAGCTGCATCCGTAGCTCCCATGCCCCCAGGGTTCAGGCCAAAGGCATTCTCAATCTCTGGCAGCGGAATTTGGCTGCTCTTCAAGAACTGCTCAAACTGTTCAAGGAGTTTGACATCATCTTCAGACATGGGTGGCTCTGGTGTCAACTGTTAAAATGAGAAAAAAATGAAACATCATCAATCCACACGTTACATTATATCCAATGGAATATCATAACACAATTCATTTCATAAAGGGAACATACAGGTACATAAAAAGAGAATAGACATAAAATTACAATATAGGCATCGAATTCAAAGAAAACAAAAGATGTTTTCATGGGACAGGTATTAAAAGACCTCCAAAGTAAACATCAGTCACCCTAGCAGACTAGCACCTCCTGTTCCTTCATATTTAATAAAGGAATGTGCCAATAGTAGATAGCTCAAAAAGTACCCCCAAACTGTTCAAGTGTGAACAAAAATTCCTGGAAACCAGTGAACAGGAAGATAGTCACTTACAGCTTGCTGTTGAGAATTTTGGGATTGCTGCTGCTGCTGCTGCTGCTGTTGTTGCTGTTGTCCTCTCAGCATCTGTTGGGCCGCCATGCTCTGAGCAGCTGTCATCCCACTGTCCTGTGGTGCTGTCTGGTTGGGAGGAACCATCACGTTGCTCGTAGACCTAGGCACCTGAGACTGCGGGCCCCCTGATTGGTTGTTTCTTTGATTGGGCCTACCTCCCTGACCAGGCATGCCGGCCATCATGCCCTGCTGCTGCTGTTGACCGGTCATCTGTGGAGGCATACCGGCGCCGCCACTAGATGGCATCTGGTTGCTCTTGCCATCCTTAGTTTGGAACGGTGGTCCAGAGCCACCATGTAAGTTGGGCTTCACTTGAGTGTCGCTTCCCTGCAGGGACTCATTACCAGAGTTTTCAATCTCTCTCAGGAGTTCGTTCATGGCACTGTGCTTGTGCGGGTCGTTGTCTTCGAGCGTCTCAAAGGCCAAGATCAACTGCTTCATGATAGCATCAGGGTCTTCCAAACCCTCCCCAATGTCCCCACTAACACTGAGACCAAGGCCACCATCCTGTGAGGCAGGCATGTGGGGTTTGGTCGTAGTCACCGTTGGGCTGGTTGTGGAGTCCTGAGAACTCTTCCCTTCGACGTCTCCTTTCATGCCCTTAACAATGTTATTCGCAGAGGAATCATCATCCATGAGGAGTTGTTGCAGCAACACATACTGTCCTTTCTTTTTCTTCTGCTGGGTCGCACTACCACCACTACCACCGCCGCCACCTCCCCCACTACCACTGCTGCTTGTACACTGTCCCCCATTATTGTTAGATTCTGGATCTGGATCTCCTTTCTTCCATATCGTCGTCGTGGAAACCACTGTACTACTCACAAACTCTGGCTGCTCTTTGGGCAAGAGTCCGGTGCCAAACATCATCTTTTTGTTTCCTTCTAATAACCCGCCGAGGATCTTGGGGGCTTTCTTTTTATTTCCAGGCTCATCCTCGCCTTCTTCAGATTTGGCCTTCTGCGGAAGCACCTTGACTGCCTTCTCCATCATGTTGCGTAGGGAATTGTTGTCCAGAACTTCATCGTTTTCGGGGAAGCGCTTGGTGGTCTTCTGTGTGCCGGGAATTGCCGATCTGTTTTTGTTGCTGTCAGGATCACCTTTGGTTTCTGTGAGGTAAAGATTTGGTTCGTTATCACATAACAGCCAAGACTCAAAGACTGGTATTACAAAATAAGTATTTGTTGGTTCGTTACCGATTGCAGATAAGAATAAAATGCAAATAAATGACACATGCATAACAAGCAAATATCAAGGGATACAGATATAAATTCTGCATAATTATACTTGTAAAGAAATTTTACTTGCAGACTTTTCAAAAGACTTATCAGCTTTTACAGAAAACTGCTTTAACTTTATAAACCCAAGCCAGACAACATGGAGCAATATTTTGTGTAGATACATTACATGGGAATTTAATGCAATTCTGTTTATTGTTCTTGTTTTACCTAATTGATATATTTTTTCCCTAAGACTTTGAATACGGAGCAATTCAATAAAGTTATATTCATGTTGCCAGACATTTGATTGGGTCAAGTATCTTCTGTCCACTTGTTGTAACAGAATAATTGCAGAAAGGACGCTATCTCTGCTTCATGGCACAACTTACCCTCTTTCTCTTTCAGAAGATCTTGCAGCAAGTTGTTATCCTCCTTGCTATCTCCGTCCTTCTCGTTGGTATCAGGGCTGGGGTTCAGACTACCGGTATCGTCCGGTCTATTATTACCTTGAGCTCCTCTTGAAGGCCCACCGTTATTCATCATCTTGTACACATTCCCTTGGTTATTTTCTGGCAAGAACACGTCATCTGTATTATCCTGGTTGCCTCGAAGGCTACCTGTAGTGGCGGTGGCAGCTGGCGGCATCTTGTTGCGCTTGGTCATGTCGCCAGGACCACCGTTGGTGCCGGGGGTGCCAGCACCTCCACCACTACCGCCTCCTCCTGTGCCTCCGCGATTGAACATCATGTTGGGGTTTGTTCCCCCAGAAATGCCTCCTCGGTTATAGAGAGCATTGTCCGTCATGACCGGGCCCATGCCGCCGGACATTTGATTGGAGTTGTAGTTCATGTTTCCACCACCAAGCATGCCTCCTGCCGCTCCCCCTGCCCCTCCTTGTCCGCCATTCATGGCCATGTTGCCCCGCCCCATCATGTTTCCAGGATTGAGGACACCACCGTTACCACCGACTCCTGCACCTCCTGCTGCACCTCCAGGTCCACCAACTGCCCCTGCGGGACCCCCACCACCAGCGACAACACCCCCAACAGCACCTCCACCACCAGCAACAACTCCAACAGCACCCCCACCACTGCCGTTCCACATGCCGGCCTGGGACTGTTGCTGCTGTTGCTGCTGCTGTTGTTGTTGCTGCTGCTGTTGTTGTTGCTTTTGCTGTACTAAGTTTTTGAGTTGCATCATTTTCTGATGAGACATCCCCTGTCTCTGGGTGGAAAACACTTTTAACAAGTGGTCTGTGTTCATGTTGGACATGTTGTTCATGTTCGTCATATGCGTTGCAGGGTTGTTATTTGTTGAAGGTATCGAAGTCACCGGTGTGCTACGGTTTTGGTCCATCTCTCTGTACACAAGAAAGACAGAAATAAAAATATAATTCAACAGTCCTGTATCACTACACACACATATGAAAAATAAAAAATGATGAAATATTTTATTGTGTGTTTATTGATCGTGATAAAAGTGTTATGATGCTTGGATATTATTGAGCCATCAAGATCACAAAATTTATCAACATAATTCAAATATTAGGCGAATGGAGCTCCCACTTTAGGAAATTTTGGTCCCCTGGTGTTTAATAAATTGTATACTTCCTTATTGTCAATTAAGTTATTTTATTGTTAATATTACTGTATTACAGTGGAGCCACTCCTTGAAGTTGATGAGTTCAGTGTCGGTCTTCTTACATGATATATAACCTTGATGCATGTCAGGGTGAGCCTTAACTGACTAGAGTGAGGCATTTGTGTTGTGCTGTTTTGTGTTGTGTTGTTTACCTTTATTGTTACCTTTACTGATATGATATTATTGTAAATATGTTATGTCATTGAGTTTTATTTTCAATTCAAAAGAAGAAAAAGAAAAATCTCTATCTCACTCACCTCATGATGGTGTGGGCACAGACGATGTACTCAAGCTGACCTGAATGGTGGTGTGTGGTGTAGAAGGACGTCTGGACGTTCACCCAGTTGTCCTTGTACAGCTGGAACTTGTACGTGGTCATCAAGCTCTTCCCTTTCTCCATGGCTACAAGAAAAAAAAATTGAAGGATTAACAGGATTCTGATGCTCTTTGTGGAATGCTTATGCATACCTACCAACCTTTCACGGCAAAAATTAGGAATCTCTCAAGGCAAATTAGGAGTACAGTCTGTAAAAGTATTTTGTATACTTTACTCAGAGAATTTTTGAGAAAAAGATAGGAATCTAGGGTTTAAAACAAAAGCTTGAAGGCCAAAATATAGAAATCACTCCTCCAAAATAGGAATGGTTGGCAGCTTTGCTCATGAACAAACAGAAAACACAGGATTTTAGATCCTAACTAAGAAGATGAATTCTTTTTAAAAATTGCGCTTCAAAATGATAATGAAGTGCCTCAAAAATGTAAAAATCTTTGAGTGACTGGTTCTACCAATAGACTGTAGTGTTATAAAAACCTTCAGGAAAACGAAAAATGAAATTTCGATTTCCAATCATAAATATCTTGATAATCGGTCATGGCATTCCTGACATGACTGACCTAAAGGTTTATAATTTTGATCGCAGCATGAGCTAAATCAAGGATTTTGTCTCAGAATCTGGGGCAATGTTACCGAGTCACCTAAATAGTATTTCCACCAAGTCTGCATGCACATGGAAACCGACGCCCCACTCCCTGCAACCAACCCCACTCACCTTCATCGATGCGGTTCTTGAGTTCCGTCCTTGAGCTTGCGTGGCAGAACTTGAAGATGGTCTGATGGAGCATCTCCTCCTGGGTGAAGGACGGCCCTTTCACACGCGACAGGTCGGCCGACTGGATCACATACTCCAGACTGAGCTTGGTCGTGAACTCCTCGATGTTGTCAGAGATGGAGGCGTTGTGCTCCTCCGGTAAAGCACGTCTTGCGATGCAGAAGAGGTGCACTGTTCCTTCTGTGAAAGAGAAGGAAACAAAACGTTTAATTTTCAAGGAAATAGTACTGTTGCCTCCTCCGATTATATATTTTAATATTATTTTGACCAATTCCCATTCTCTTCATTTCATGGTTCTTAATATTTCATACATTTACAAAAGAGGTGCACTGTTCCTTTTGTAAAAGAGAAGGAAAAGAAAGTTCAATTTAAAGGAAATAATATTGTCGTCTCCTCCAATTATATTATAGCAAAAAAGTTTGACTGTTCCCATTATTTTGCATTATGAATTTGTTGTGAATATTTCATGTACCTGAAAGTTCCTGGTGGTACAGTACTTGCACAGCATATTACAGACATTACAATTACCAGTGTGATTAACACTAGTATGATGGCATCAGAAATACAATATGCCACTCCCCATCTTTTCCCAACACTCCTCCTTCTCCTCCTCCTCCTCCTCCTTCCCCCTCCCTCCCCCTCCTCCTCCCCTTTGCCATGCTTTCCATACATACCTGCATCGTTATTTGACGAGTTGCTCTCCTTATTGATAGCAGGCTTCAAGATGGCAGTACACATCATGGTATCGTAGCGCTCTGCTCCAAGGGACTCGTCGTTCTCCGGTTTCACCTGCATGCGGCACTTGAAAGAGCGGTTGCGGCCACATTGAGGTGTGCTGGCTGCATCTGGAGGCCAGATGCTCGATGTCGCTGTTTTTTACAAGACCAGAATGTCACCAAACGTGAAAATACAATTCAACTACTTTCAAACAATATACAGTCAAACCTGTCTATAGCAACAGCCACAAAAAGTGGTCTTTGAAGACAGGTGGACTTTGTAGACAGGTTCCTTTAGTAAATGTTTTTTCAATGAGAAATCACTTTCAAGGGAAACAAAAATGTGGTCTTTGTAGACAGGTGGTCACTAAAGCAGGTTTGACTGTACTTGATAATGTTTTGATGGTAGCACATTGTTATTCATATATTTATGTATCAGATTCTACAGTTTCAATGACTTAGTATACATGGTTTTAACCATTGTTATCTATCTGTTTGCATTTCTATTTGTATTTGAAATCAAACCACAAAATTTGGTCGCAATAAAGAAATTAAAACAACAGTGTCAACAATTGTTGAATTGCAACTTTGAATCACAACACAGACCTCACTCTTAACGGCAGTGGAGATCCAATGAATTAAGCATGGTTGGGAGATTCCTCTGACTCAAGCATGAAGCATTGTGGTTTGGAAAGTTAATTTACATGGGAAAATCTGACATACTCTATAACAAACTCTCTGTCTGGTCCCAAGCATGAAGCATTAATTGTGGTTTTTGAAAGCTAAACAGGTAAATCTGACAAGCACAAGATTTTTGGTAAACAAACTCACTCACTGCTGTCAGATACACAGAAATATGATGTAATGTGTCTTTTTTTGAGGGTCAACAAGAGGGGAACGCAAAATGCGGAAAGAGAAGGACAACTTCTGGAATACTAATCGTGAGCTAACTCTGGCTGGGGTATTTGTATACATACACATTTACAGGTTGTACCAAAAATCAAATTGAATTGATTGGGTTAGAATCAACGTGGCAGGCATGTACTCACCTGTACTTGTTGAAGGGTGCAGGCACTTGGTAAAGGGATTGTGATCTCCAACATGAACATAGCTGTAGATGGATGTTCCTATCAGGTCCTCCTGTTTAGAGAAATCAGAGGGAAAAAAGAGAAGTAGAAGGGGAAAAGGGCAGTTAATACCATGTATAAAGGTTACAGAACACTGTATCTATACTGCATTTTCACCTCTTCGTTCTAGCAAACTTCTAGCACAGGACGTGTGTGCAAATTTTTAATTCACCCTTGGGCTAGCAATTTCATCTGTTTGAATCCATAAGGGCGTTAATATATATATATACAGTGCGTCCCAGAAAAAACGAAACCAAGAATTATCGATATTTTATCATTACTTAGTCACATCTATAATTAATAAATGACACATATTTGGAAAGCTTAGATCCTCCTCTTTCATTTGATGCAACTCACCTGATGCATATTTCATGCATGAGTGATTAAAATGAATTTGAAGAGAGGAAACCAAAAAGTCATTTGGTGGACGATATCTGAATTTCAAAGGGAAAATCACATTCCTAGAAAGTTGAGTTTCTGCCTTTTCATATGACACCTCAATCACGAAAAATGAGCCAGGAATAACAAAGTTCTGTATGTTTAAAGTAGTGCTTGCATTTCCATAATTGTATCAAACGAATTCGTTTTCACTGGGAAATGTGAAGCGTATTACAATTTATGTTAAATGTATCACAAGAATTTAACACTGCAAATGTAGATCATTGTAGTAAAAAAAAATTAAAAATAATAACACCAAGCGTTCTCTTTAATAACTAACTGTATCACAAGAATTTGACAATACAGATATAGATCACTGTACAATGTAATGCATACATGTATGATATGACATTTGCTTGTTTACAAAAATGATGCCTTATTTCCTGGTGAAACTGGCTCTATTTCAGTTTGTTTTGTCAGGTGATGTCACCTAAAATACCTGCATCAGAGAATCCGGTTTCATTCCCTGCCATTCTCATGTTATAACGTGATACACAAACCAGACTCTCAAGTGGCCAATTGATCTAATTTATGACAAAATAACTTACTGCAATGTACCATGATTACAGGTATGTACATTTAGGTTGTGGATATTCTGTACATGTGTGCATAAAATGAGATCTAAATAGTGCAATATTGAAAAATTCATTAAATGAAAGAAAGAAAGAATGAAGAAAGATAAAGAGAGAGAGAGAGAGAGAGAGAGAGAGAGAGAGAGACTGAATGAATGAAAAAAGTAATGAATGAATTAAACAGATCCTACTGTATGAGACAGAATGTAGTGATTGTTATCATACATTGTTTCTTTATATAGTACTCCTTTCACAGCTACCCCTCCCCCCCCCCCCCTCCTCCACCCTCTCCCCTCCCCCAAAAGGAGGACTTTGAAGTTGTCATTGACGGTGACAGAACCTGTAAAACTATTCTATCCTAGACCCTACCATATTTGATCAGCATTTAATTTCATTGCGGCACGATCAAAATCATCCTCACAATTCCATCATGTCAATAGCGTGCACCGATTCTCTTATGTACCAAGTCTGTGACCTCCATGTACACGTACATGAACATGTACTTGTTAGATAACTGGTGGGCAAAGTTTAGAGATAAAGTACACTTTAGTGCCATTGAACATGGATTCATGTATGCATAGTGAATTATTTATGTGCATAGACAGATTACTCTAAATGCCTCTTCATCATGCGTTTAAGAGTTGATTGATTGTACTGTGAACATGTGAAGGTAAAGGTACCCGCATGATCAGAGAACAGACTTGAAGGTTGATTCAATATCAGAGAACTTATAATATCAATCAATCTCATCGTTCCTTGGCAGACAAAACCAATTGATTATGAAGTAATGAGATAGCCAAGGCTAGACACTTACAGAGTCCCTGGTATTATGGGCCCCTAAATTCGAACTCTGAACCCCTAGAAATGTTTGATTTAATCAAGGGCCCTATGCAATAATGTCAATTCAGTATTAATTTGTTTGTGTCCATATTCAGTAGCCTATACAACATTTCTGAGAGAGGAAAATCATAATTATCATACTAACGAGTATCTGCAATTACATGAAGTACCCACTTGACACAGGCTTCAATATACAATGCCATCATATTATTTCACACTTACATGCATGCACTGTAAAACAGCCAAAATTAAAATTTACAGTTTAAATAATTAATATGAAATATGTAAGCTGGTAATGCAGACAAATGGAATTAGTTTGAGGAAAAAAAGCGATGGAGACGGACAAAATCAGAAAATCCAATCTGACAACTCCCATACTCTGATGAGTAATGTTCATGTATTATGACCACTCCTACACAATAATTACAGCTCTTCAACTTCAATGCAAGATTTAAAGGGAAAGTCCACCCTGACAACATTGAGTTTGTTTCTCGATAAAAGCAGAAAAAAATGAAAGAAACCAATTAATCACAGGACATATGATGATTCTCAGTATAAAGCTAATAAAGAGCTACTTGTACGGGATTACAGACATGGTAAGTTGTTTCAATCTTGAAGAACTCTGAAATTTCATAACTGTTTTTCTTTGATGATTTGCTTGATTGTCGTCCCGGCTTTATTTCGTGTAAGGATATTGCTTCACTTAATGGCTGCTGGGACAACAGCACCACTGCGCCTAGAAACAACGTATTGGGCGCATTATAAATGTGATCTATTATTATAATTAGTATTGTTTTAACCTGACTGCTATCAAAGTAAGTGAAAAACCAGGGGACTGACAGCTTTAAGTCCTCTCAGAGGGAATTGGTGATAAGCATTAACGCTATACCAAAGGGCATTAGTGCATAAACTTGGTTTCAAACCCGGGACCTAATGGTTATGAGACCACTGCTCTCACACTGAGCCCTCGCGCCTTCTTTATCAGGTATTTTCTAAAAACTTTCACTGGTCAAGTTGGACACCAGGGTGGACATTCCCTTTAATTTCTGACCTAGTTTCCAGTATTCAACGATGAGGCCTGCATTCCCCTGTCCGTGCTGTCCATCTAATCCTCCTCCCTCACTATAAATCAATATCGCAAGACTTATGCAATGGCTTTCATTCTACAGAAAATGACAGCTTAATGAATTGCATTATTTCTCATTCTTTCCTCGTTTCGCACAAAATCATTACACAACATTGCAAGACTTATGCAATGGGAATCAAATACCATATTTTTCATTCCATAGAAAATGACAGCTTCATGAGTGTATTAGGTACATGTAATTCTCCTTCTTTCCTCGATCGCAAAAAATATTCGACAATTTGTGCTTTGGCTCCGTAACTTTTAATAATGCATTTCTTTTATGGAAGTGACATTATTTTAAAATGCAGCATGTGGCATTATCCAACTCTGAATGGTAAAGGCCATGGAAATATTGGACGAGAGAGCAGATGTACCCATTTTCAATTCAGCCTTATTTAGATGTAAATAAGGGATCAAGTTTGGAGCTCTTCATCAAATAGGAGCACAAAAATAGTATCATGTTCCACTCCTTTTGGGTCATTTGAAATGAGACCGAAATACTCTTAAACTACACATAGATTTTTATCCTGATGAACATCTGCCTTTTTCAGATAATTGACAACACTCTCTGCACTATGAAGATATGTCTAAAAAAACAACTTTTAACTTCATGAAAGGAAGATGAAATAGTTTATGCTAGGTTATTCAAAATTGTGTTCTTCTTTTGGCTATAGCGTTTCCATCCTTGGATGAAAATCAGTACTGCGGGTCCTCCTTAAAAAAAACAAATTTATCAAACTTGTGCACCCTTTTCAGCCGTGAATCATATTTAGTAATATTGAGGCCATGTTGTCTCCAGAACTCAACGGCTGCGTTCTCATTGCTCTAAGCCACCATTGACAGAGAGCATTTCCTCTCCGCATATGGAGGAGCTAGCCGAGGAGGAAGTCTGCGCAGGGGCCGTTCGTTAGCGCCGCGCAAACTTGGGATGCGGCCCACTACGTGTCAGCAAAAATTACCTTCCCCGATCTAATAAGACTCTTGCTGCACCGACCGACCGGGAAGGTCGACGTGCGGCGGGTATTTTTAGCCCAGAACTTTTCTCCAGGCCACGAAACCCAGGAAGGGGGAGATATACTTCGACTAGTGTCGAGTCAAAATCCTCTGAAAAACACAGTTTCTCCTTTCCCTTGGCTTTGGTATTTACTGAGTAGTGTTCACTGTTTCCTATATCTTGCCCTAGATACAGTTTAAATATAAAAGAAGAAAAGCGATGAATGTCTAGTGCACTTGTTGTCGCCAAAGACAATAAAATTTAAAGAATCTTTTCCAATAAGTTGCATCATCATTCCTGTTTCTCCTTGTAAACAAGCTTTTAATATCATTAAAAATTCCTGCAATGTGTTTACATTATAAAATCTTCAAGAAAATTACAACAGGATATTCCACTCAGTGCTCGAGAGTCTTAAACATAAACCATTTTGGTTCTCTGTATATCACATTCTGACCTTACACCAAAAAAAACATTTAGAACAAAAAAACATCTTGAACAAAACATCCAGGCCACAATAAAACATCTTGAACAAAAAACATTTTGACCTTACACAAGGGACAGTTGTGAAAAAAATATTTACATTTTTGGATTCTTGCCATACGAATAATCTCAAAACTAGAAATTGCAAGTATCGGTTCATGGTTCCTGAACATGCAAAGCTTCTTCCCCAAGCGAGACATTCTTGAGTTTAGCGAAACTTTGTGGGATGTTTTCAAGTGGTTTGAACCTCCTTAAATCACATCCATGTTTATGTTGTTGACCCAATTTTGATTTCTCCTCATAATTAATGACATGTAGTGTTTTGAAACCAACTGAATTGCAGGCTTGACCACTTCAAGCAAACAATATCAAGAGTGTAATAAATCAAAACTGACTAGTTGCAAAACAACACATTTCAATTTCTTAACTTCCTTCATACTTCATGAGTGTAAAACTAACCCACTGTATATTAAGCCATAACTAGACTAGAGTCTATGGAAAATGTGCGTTACACCAAAATCATAAATAATGTATCCACCTATTGACATGCTGATCAGTGCTTCAGTGAAATGGAGGACCAAGTTTACATTGACATACAAATGAGTAAAATCAGTAAGTTTTCTTCCAGGTTAAAGATCGTGATATTTGTTGTAGTGTGAACACGTTTGACAAATGTCTCAATCATGACTTTCTTCCCCCTCCCTTTTGTCACAGGACAGGGGCATCCTGAATAGGTTATTGACCACAGGCTAGTCTACAAATCCATACCTTACTATTATTATGGAAGTGCTTGTACAAGGTGTATAGTCTGTCGTTTTATGTGCAACTGACCTCACCCCCCCCCCCCCCCCCCCCATCTCCCTCTTCAGACAATTTCTAGTTTTTAATCTCTTTCTCATGTTCTGCCTCAGTTTCACTGTGTCCCTGCCCCCCCCCCCCCTCTCTCTCTCTCTCTCTCTCTCTCTCTCTCTCTCTCTCTCTCTCTCTCTCTCTCTCCTCCCCTATCTCCCTCTCTCCTTCCCCTTGCCCTCTGTTCAACTCTTGCCCACTCTCTCTTAAATCCGTCTCTCTCCAAACCTTTCTCCCACTACCATCCATCTATCTCTCACTTTCCCTTGTCCCGTCCTTTCTGTTGCTTCATCAATCTAACCAGTTCCTTAACGTTTAAAATGCCTTTTCTTGTTACTTTGTGAAGTCTTACAAAATGTAGAGTAATTTATTTTTTGCTGTAAATTCTTGGTCATCACGACTGGCCATAATCACTACATGGATTCCAATTTATAAGCTAAACGAAGGACAAAAGAACTTGTATGATTTATGAACGATTAATACTGTTCTAATATCTTTGATATCGAGCAGGTCTGTATTCATAGACTAAACTCTGCAATCTCACTCAAATACCCAAATGCTATGTGATGCAGATCAAAAGTAATCTTTGACAACTGATCTTGAAAGTCAGCATAGACTTCCTGTCAATTCAACAAACAAGGGTTGTATACAAACTCATTTTTGTGGATGATTCAAGATGATCCTCAGTTTCTGAGACCTTAAAAATGAAGATGTTTTCCAACGAGTTTGTATCTCAAATGAAAAAAGGAGGGTATTTCTATTTCAAATAATCAGGTGCTGGATTGCCGTAGGACATGGCAATATCAATATGTATCAAAATACTAGGGATTTTCTATTTCAAATTAATTAGGTGTCATGTTTGATGTTGGGCTTGTATTATCCAAAATGATTGAAAATGATTAAAGACTTTCCTATTTTATACAAATGAGATGTCTTGTTGCCAACAAGGTGTCATAAAATATGAACATGCCAACCTTTTGTTTCCTGTATCATCCCTCTCCCCATTTGAAAAAATAATTTATCATTTTATCTCCCTCCCTCCCTCCCTTTCTCTCTCTTTACACTGTATTGCTATTTATAATACACTCTCCCTCTTGATCTTTTCCTAACTGGAAAACTAATTTTACATTTTATCTATTTCTCTCCTTTTAAAACCCGTAATGCTCTTTTGTTCCTCCCACTTTTTCGCTCTGCACACCTCTGTTGGCATCTCTCCTAGATCTAAAATGATCTGCCATTTTGTCAAGGCAAAGTAAAAGTAGGCAGTTCTAGGCACTAGTGACTAATTCATTTTGTAGATGCTCTTGCATGAGAAAAGATTTTCACGCTGCATGAAAAAATGTAGGCACAAAGAGTTCATATGGAGCAGAATTCAAATTACACAACTATGGCACTTAGATCATGTGCAAATTAAAAGCTTTCACTGAATTGTATCAGAATTGTGACTTTCAAATAAGTGTATTTTAAAAGTTGGGGGTTACACTTAAATGCATCAAAGCCTATCAGCTTAATGACACCCCTCCCCCCCCCCCCCTACCCATCACCACCACCCCACCCATATTCTGTTGTCTATCTATCCATCTATCTATTTCTGTCTGCGTCTCAATTCCTACCCCAGCCTCCATCTCTACCCTTTCTATGTGTGTGTCTGTCTCTCTCCCTATCTCTAGATCGATCTCTCCCTGCTTGTCGTCACCCCCTACCCTCGGGGGGAAGCCCTACAGGTAATGTGTAACCTACTGCCCCAGGCCACAAACACATACACTGGAACACCCAGCAACCACGTTTTTTAATAGACGCTCTTTTAAAAGGTTTCCTTTAGCCTTTTGCATGCTAGCAAAACATACAGGATGAAATATGATTGTACAGTCAAACCTGCTTTAACAACCACCTGCATATGTATATAAAGACCACATTTTTTGGTTTCCTGTGAACATGGTTTCTCGTTCAAACCTAAGAAAATGAACCTATACATAAAGGCCACCTGCCTATAAAGACCACTTTTCATGTTTCCCTTGAGCGATCTTTATATACAGGTTCACTGTACAAGAATGATGTCTGTCTGGTGCTAAGAGGGCATTAACTTGTGTGTCTGTTCTCGTGATGTCCTTGCTACATACATGATTATACAAGTACACTTAAATGTATGCATTGCCTCTTTCGTGGCTTGTGAAAGTCATAGAGTACCTTTAATACTGAAGCCCTAAAAAAAATTGCACTTCAAAATGATCATGAAGTGCCTCAAAAAGTAAAAATGACCAGTTATACCATACTCATTTCCCCCAATAGACTGTAGTGTTATAAAAACCGTTGGGTAAAAGGTTTTTGAAATTTAGAATTCCAATCATAAATATCAATCTTTATAACCAGACAGGCGATAGACTTGAAAAAGTCATGGGATTCCTGACTGACCTAAAGGTTTATAATTATGATTGCAGCATGAGCTAAATCCAGGATTTTGTTTAGAATCTGAGACAAAGATACCCATTACCCAATCCATTTAACATGCATGCCCCATCCAGGGATGCAATTCTACATTTTGTGGTTTGCATTCGTATTGGATTATTGATCAACCATATGCTTTAGGCCCTTTTTTTTTTACTACAAGATAGGAAATGATCTCTGATCTCTCAATGCTAACGGCAGCTGAGCTAAAGCCACAGCATTGTCTTTTATAAACAGTCAAGTACAGCTAAATAAAAATTACATGAATTTCATCGTGTTTATAGGGTTTCTGGACAATATTCTTATTGGCAATTCAGGCATTTTCAGTAATAATGATAACATGCTAAAGTTTACGACAAAATATAACATTTGCACAAATCTAGCAAGAATGAACTTGTTGCAAATATGCATCACTTTGGCTGCGTTTATGCTTGATTTTGAAGGTAGAATGAGCAATCTGAAACGCTCATCGTAAACGCTCATCGTAATCGCAGTTCCACGGTGTACTGTTTATGCTCACTTCTCTGGCTCCTCCAGGCAGTTCTCCCTGTGTGGCCTTAATTGGCCTTGCAGCTGGATTCGCAACCTGCACTGTGCATGCTACGTAGACCCACTAGAGGTCAGTGCGTTGACCCCATTTAAATGCGTTTACAAATCGTAAACGCATCTATTTGTGAGTTTACGATCGGCGATCATGATCGCCGTTTTTTCGGTGATTCTACAAAAGTGAGCATGGACGCAACCGTGTTTTAAACTAAACGCGTAACAGATGCCTGATTCTGGCCAGAAAAATTTAAGCATAAACATGCCCTTAGACTATCATTCAAAATTATTTTCTTTTCTTTACAAGAAGAGATTGTACATGTACATGTAGATGGGTAGGGCAATGATGAAGGGAACCACGAGGATGATGATGTCAATGATAATGATAATGATGATAATAAGGATGATGAGGATGATGGAGAAGATTCCACCAAGAAAGAAATGAAAACAAGAGTGGGAAACTTTTTTTTCTCTCACTTCTATTGAAGACATACCAAATGAGAAAGTGCTTTAGAAAAATGGTAAGAAAGATTACCTGTTGATAATTGAGATAACTGTTGACATTCTCCGTCACATACTCAATCTCTCCCTGGCTGTTAACCACAAACAGGAACCCATCTAGTGTCTAAAGATAAGATAAAGATAAAAAGTACACTTTCAATTGCAATTTTACATCAGAAGTAAAAGCACAGATATAAAAGCTGAAGACATAAGATCAATAGTAAGATGGTACATTGTAATTCAAAGCTATATCTAAGAATACAAAGATTAAACAATTTAAAAGACAGATTTTGAAAATCAGACAGTTATTGAAATGTAAAGCCACATCTCAAAAATAAAACACAGATATGGAAGTGCATGTCAGATTGTCCAATATTTCATTAATCAATAGTTATAAATTTGCACAGATCACTTCAGGTGTTAAAACACGTCGCTCAGTTCAAGCACAGGACTTTGCAGCGTAATCAATTCACCTGGTAAAGGTCATTACTAACTTCCCCCCCCCCCCCCCTCTCCAGGCACTCCTTACACAATGGCAAGCAATGTTTTTGGCAGATGTACCTTACATAAACATGATACAGTTGAAATCTAATTTAGTGACCATCTGAATACAAAGACCACAAGTCCACCATGACCAGTGGTCTTTATATTCCCCTTGAAAAAGTATCAAATTAAGAAGTTTTGCCTGGGGAAGCTCATTAACAATTCTACCCTCCCCCTAACACAATGGTAAAGCAATACTACTGGTACAAGTATATGTATCCTATGAAGACTTAACACACTGAATTCTCCTTTAGCAAAGCACCTTTTCAGAAAGACCACCTTTCCAGAAAGATCATTTTCGTGTTTCCTATGAAAAATGTTCATTATTGAAAACAGACTGGACATAAAGACCATCTACTACTAGCCTGTAAAGACCATCTACTACTAGCCTGTTAAGACCACCTGCCTACAAAGACCACTTTCTTATCTCCTTAGTGTGGTCTTTATAAACAGGTTTTCTTGTACAGTCAAAGCTGCTTTAGTGACCACCTGTCTACAAAGACCACCTGTATATAAGGACTACATTTTTTGTTTTCCTTGCAAATGGTTTCTCATTGAAACATGTACTAAAGGAACCTGTCTACAAAGACCACCTGCCTACAAAGACTGTTTTCTTATCTCCTTAGAGCGGTCTTTAAAAACAGGTTTTTGCTGTAGTACCTACCTCTAGTAGAACACTGCCCAGTGAGTCCCCTGAAGGAACGCCTGGCTTGCTGGAGGATACATGGCTATGCTGTACCTCTTCTCCATGTTCAGCATCTACAAATTAAAAACATTGATACAGTGAACAAAACTGAATTTACAAACTTTGTAACAAAAATTACAAAATCAAATAAAAAAAAATATGTAAAAACAAAACATTACAAATTAATTATGGTTAATTTCTTTCTATGTCATAGGCAGAAAATCGGGCCTGAAATGCGGGCCTGAAATGCTATACTAAGCAGGTCTCATGGGGCCCCCTCAACCCTGTCACACCACACTATCTACTGGATCTTCATCACCACGATGGCAAGGTGTGGCCTTCAAGGTATATCAAGGTATCAAAGTGTAGATAAGATGGCAATTTTATTTTGGTCTTTGGAGAAGTTTGTATGAATTGTCATATTTAATCCAATACAATATGTGCCCAAGCAGCCCAACTTTAAAGTGACTCTGTAACATTGTTGAAGGTTGATGAAAAAAAATTGCTGAATTTTTGTATAAAATGTTACTTACTATATTCGTTCTACCATACTATCCCTCTGACATGCAAAAAAAAAAAAAAATCTCAAACCACAAAGATATCTATGGTTTTCTTTGAAGGCATCGATGTGAGGCACCCTCTAACAGTGATTAACAGTAAATTCTTCCAACCATTTTTGAATTTTCCCAAACGTTTTTCCATGAGAAAAATACATAAAACAGGCTATAAAAATCTGTCAGCACTTAACTGTCTGGAATGGAATGTAGAGCCATTTTATTGCTTTTTGACAATTTACATTCACCTAAAATATAATTAAATTGTCCTTGTCTTGATGCTGAACAGGCTTTGACAAGTAGCAGAATAGAAGTAGAATAATATAGTTGGGAGAATTAAGGAATCGATCAGATCAGTTTTTCCCAATTTGTACCACGAATAATGATCCGTTTTCACTCAAATTTTCAGATTATCTTTAATTGTACGTCTAGCATTGAAGTCACTACCTTAGCACCACTATCTCTCATCTGAACAATGTTACAAAGTCCCTTTAACATTTGGAAGCAGTGCACTAAAAAATGTAACTGTTGAAAGTGAACTAATAGCAATGTCTGTAAATTTGGTGAGAGTATCAAATGTCCATACAACACAAAGCACACATGTATACCATGTCGCCGTTCTTTCTTAAGTTTTTAAATAACATGATAGGATTCATTTCATCTCTAAGTAATCACTACTACTATCGTCTCACCCTGTTGCTGCTTGATGCGTTTAATCTGACTGAGCGTTTCCTGTAAGAGGGCGCACTTGTCTGGCTTCATATTCAGCGACTCCGGGTTGCTGAGGCTCGCCGTGATGAGCTCGTACAGCTCCTCTATGTATGAGCTCCGCTTCTCGCATCGCCGCTTGTTTCCAGGAAATCTGTCACTGACAAAAACGGACTTAACATCAAAATATGCTCCCATGGTTTTTAAACGAAATGGTCCTCATTCATGACGGATGTTTATCTTTATTCATGATTTTAGTCTTTGTACGCTTAGAATTTAAAGTCATCGAGCCCAATGATACTGTATATACTGCATATGCTCATTCCATTCCACAGTGGGGGTTGGAACCAGATTTAAACCATGGCTTAGACTATATTGAAATTTAAACCTCCTTTGTAAAGTCTGGCCAAAGACTTATCAACTGAACTTGATAATACTATTCAAGAGTACAAAAGTATTTAAAAGAGATACATCAATATCACTCTTTCAAATGTTATGATCTTAGAAAATACAAATTTAATTTTTACCTGTTTATAACAGATTTCCATTATAATTTTGGGCACGGTTCTAATTTAAATATGGAAGGTTCTCAAATCTATAGAAATATATTTGTTTGATGGCATCTATTCTTGTGAACAGATTTCCTCCTATTTACATGTACACCACCCCATTTCAATAGCCAAGAGTGGAAAGGGCTAATATCAGTTGTTGTTGTTGTGTCCAACAAACTTTTAACGAGATTTATGGTTGCGACTAGTAATCTATTAGGTAGAAGCATGCATAAAAATATGAATTCATTTGTGAACTGGCCTCTTACATGAACATATGTTACAGCCTATGCAGTAACCAACGCCAGATGGAGAGATACTGGTGCCCTTTAATAGCCTTGACCACTTTCAACATCGCTACAACAGATTGTTAGAAATGATTGTCACCACCATCAACACCTTCCCCCCCCCCCTCCCCCACCTGCCTCCATCACCATCATCACCTGCATAACCACTACCATTCATCGCTATGGCGACCAACATCCAGCCTCCTAACTCACCTGGAGCCCTTTTCAGGGTGCTTGCGTTTGACTGACGAGTTGTTCATCTTGCTTCCGGGGGTTTAACTTGCGCCTCCGGAATCAGCTAGGCAACGGTGGATTGCGAGAGAATAAGATTTGTATCGACCAAGAATGGTACAGACCTGCAGGGTGATGGGAAGATGGGAGTGGGAAAAGAAAGAGAACATGGATGACTTCATGTGACAGAATATTCAAATTGCTTGTTGAAAGATGAACAAAGAACCTACGGTAGGGATAAAGGATTCAACATCAGCACAAACATTTTATTAGGAGACACTCCTGACAAGGAAAGAGATATAAAGTGGACACTTGTTGAAAATTTCAAAGAAATATTAACAAAGAGAGCAGCTGTCACAAAAAGTATCATTTTGGCTTTTATTTAATGCACTTTGCATTTTTTTTTTAAAGATATAGAAAAATAAACACATATAGCTCTGTTAAAGTACTATTGCATACATGTAGAATTAAACTTATTATCATCATAAATATAAAGGAATGTATCAAATACATGTACATATACATGTCTAGGTGCATGGATGCTGCAAAACCAAGTGTGAGAAACTATGAAGCAGTTGATCAGTTAAAGTTTGGCCTCGATCTTAAATTCATAAGGAATAAAGAAAGAGAGAGTGATTTTTGCAACGTTTGCAGAATTGTTCTACCTTCCATTTACATGATGATCTATCTAGCAGCTATATGCACTGTATCCTTATTGCCCTAATAAAGATTCACCCAGTATTCAAGTTACATCAAAATTAAGCAACCACATCTCACATAGAACATCTCACATAGTGCACTCACATTACCGCAAAACCACAAGAGTGATTTACACCCAATAATTCCGTGGGCACGCTTAGAATGACTGACATTTGACATTACTAGCAAAAGGAGAAAATAATAGAAGATGCTTGATTCTGTTCGTGATGACAACCCTCCCCATCTCACAATCCCAAATCTGTCAACCGTTTTTTAAAGTGACGGAGATAGAAGTATTTACTCAAATATGGAGTCTACAGATGTTTCCTACATAGTTCATGTCACAAGGGTCTCAACAGATTTGCAAGTTAATAACACAACTCAAGAAAGAACGCTCTTCATATGTAGTGTACTGAACAGTACTACAAACTTCCTTGATTTACACCCAATAATTCCATGGGCACACTTAGAACAACTGACATTTGACATGACTAGCAAAAGGAGAACATAACAGAAGATGCTCGATTCTCTCTCTGATGACATCCCTCCCCATCTCACAATGCACACATCCCAACTCTCAGAACCCTCTCTTTGCAGTTTTTTAAAGCGACAGAGATGAAACACATCTTGGGGGAAAGTGGAAGTATATATACAGTATGTATAAATATGGAGTCTACGGATGTATCCTACATTGTTCATGTCACAAGGTTCTCAAAAAAACACTCTTTACGTTTATGGTTTCAAAGTTCCCGGAAATACATTTTTTTTTTTTTTTTTAAGTATCTAATATTTGAAGATTTCATGACCATACTCTTTTATCATCTTCATACTGATAGTTGGGTCTAAAGCATGTTTTCAGCAATTGCTACCAACTGCACTGCAATAATAAAGGTCGCCAAACCATATCATGGAGATCTTTTATAAAGCATGCGTTGCCATGGTATTAGGCCAAGGTCATGCCTCATTTCAATGCTTTTCACATATTTTTCACAAATCAATATTTTTGATCTGCATCAAGTAGTGCAGATACCAATCAAACTATCAATAGAGTATCCACCTCCAGTGCAGAATCGCACAACTCTCCTCATGAAGCCTGGACAAGGTGCAGAGTGCAAAAATGATGTCAATGCCATTCTCATGAACATGTAAAATAAGTCCAGACTCAACCATCTTCCATGGTGAATGTGAAAGGGGCCATTTTTTGGGATGTCCATTTGGAGCCAGAAGGGCATTATCTCATATATGTTTATACTTCAATACAGAGTTAACACTTCTCTCGCTCTGAAAAGTTGATTTGATATTCCTGTATATATCATTGTGTGGCTGGTAGAAGGGCTTACAGGCACAAGATGGGCGTAAGGACGTTGTGTTGTTCTGCCAACTAAATATACAATAGTATACAATAGCATACAGTATGCACCATCTCCACTCCCTGGGGAGTATTCCTACCATATGCTCACTGTGAGGGCATATGGCAATTACAAACAGAAAGGGGCTTTCATTGTTATCCTACCAGGTCCGCACTTCTTCCCTGGGTATGGAGTGGCAATTGTAGATTAATGCCTTGCCAAAGGGCATTAGTGCCTTTTCGGGGGTCGAACCCACGACCTTTGCATTTCAAGTCAAGTGCTTAAACCACTCGACTACGACACCTCTACGTGCATGCATTTGCAATGGAAGCGAGCCCGAGTATATATCCTCACGCCCAGCCAATTTTCAACGACCAATGAAACGATCGGTATCGAGTAGGAATATGAACGATTATTCTGCACTTTCAGGGTAAACATTTGAAGAGCTACTGTGGTGGAAATGTTGCCCAGTTACAGGCTTGTCATGCATTCTTGATGGGTTTTATATATATCACAGTCATGGCGTCAGCCGGTGAACTAGATCACCTAATGGGATTTGGCATGGGGCAATATCCAGCGTTACAGATGATATAGGCTCCTCCTACACTTCTGCATAAATTAAAACCCTCTTCACATCCTATGGGACTGGAAACATATGTGCTGGCTAGCCTGAGACAACTCAAGCCTGGAGCACACTCCACGATCTGACTGCGCTCCGGTTATGGAAGAATTTGTGATTGCATTATATGTACATTCAAACATGTAAAATCTTGCTCCCAAAACCTGGAACTCCTATATTTGGGGGCTATTTTCTCTATATTTGTATAGTATTTCCTAGAAAAATAGACTTTTTCCCCTATGAAATATGAAACATAAGTGATGCTAGAATTCTTACTCCATGTACAAGGTATTCATATAATAAATGAATGACTGAACATTTATTTTCTCCATACATCATTTTTTATCACTTTTCTTTAAACTTTTCCTCAGACTTTTCCCCTTAATTTCTAATCTGAAGTAATAAAGAATAAAACTATTTCAACCATGTCAAAATATCAAAATATTCCTTTGATAAAACCACACAGATACAGAGGTGGGTAGCATCCCTTGCAAGTATGGAGGTATTTGCCCCCATTTTCACGATGACAACACAAAACTAAAAACTGCTACCACTGCTGACGTCAATGGCAGTGAGTGAAACTACTGAAGGCAACGGTTAACGTAGCCCTCCAAACATTGACCTCACTGTCGGTATCAAAGCTATTACAAGGCACTCGATCACTTGCCCTGTAGATGCTAAACCCAATGCCAACGAAGCCTTGCAATTGACATTTGAACTACTTCTGCTATTTTTGTAATTTGTGTGGGGAAGAGCCATGCAGGAACCATGAAGCCGTGAAGGATGGTACTCGTACTACAAACAAACGTCTGCTTGACAGTCTTGTGTAATGATATGAAAGTCACTAGGACCGATTTGGTTTCGCCCTGTCTTGAACTAGAACTGAGCATCATTTTTTAAATTTATTTATTGACCTTATTTTGTTAAAATGCATCACTGTACATATAATTTTCCATAATTACCGGTACTATCATATTTCTTCATGAGGTTTTACTTTTAATCTATTTACATGAAGCTTTGTGCTGTCATATTCAATACACATACATGTATATGTACATGTAACTAAAACCCCCAAATCAGCTTTTTGCATTGATTTATTGTACATACAGGTCTGACATCTATTGTACATACCATGTACATCATTTCAAGTTATCAACTGCCACTAGTATTTTGGTAGAATTCTTCTTAACCTAATGCCTCCTGGAACCAATTTGTTCCTGTATTAAACCTATGGGCAACATGAGAATTCAGTAGTCAATAGAGTGGTGGAGTGTGACATCATCAAAATCTAATTTTAGAATTTCTCAATTTTTTCTTCATTTTCCGAAAGAGCATCAAACATAATGTCCAGATGTCGAAAACCAATTGAATATGTTAAGTATTGGCTGAGATATGACCATCTGAATAAATATATGTCCTATGGGAACTCAGTGTTATATGCTCTGGCTCCTAATGGTAAGGAGCCAGAGCATATAACACTGAGTTCCTATAGGCAATCTGGTTTTCGACATCTGGACATTATGTTTGATGCTCTTTCGGAAAATGAAGAAAAAAATGAGAAATTCTAAAAATAGATTTTTATGACGTCACAGCTTTGGTACTCTATGGGTTGAAACACTTACATTAATGACGGCAACCTTTACTGGCAATGAATTAAAAATATTGTTGGGAACTCAAACATACATCCTACACAATTGGGCAGGATATAAACATGTACGATATTAATGACCGACTTCCAAAGACTTCCAAACAAACGTGTGATTATTTCCTGATTAGCAGGAACACATCCTTCCAAGAAGATTTACAAGGATGAACCAACAATGTATGGTTTCATATTTCATTATGTATTCATAAATAATATTCTTGGCCCAATTCTAGAAACTAGGTACTATCAATGTACAAGCATGTTTTGTAACATACATCATAAACTGTCATACAATTAGTCTTCTGATTTGCACAATCACACACACGGTGATCTACCTCAACCAAACGTGGACATCGAATCCAGCGCAGCCTTCAAATCTGCAAACCAAAAATTAAACCAAACAGCATAACCCCTGAATTACACAAATTTATATACTCTCGTCGAGCCCCAAGTTATACTTCCAGTCATAGTTTCCAGCGGACCATTCTGAAGTGATCAACACAATTTACTAGAAAATTCATACAACAAACTGTACTTCACATACCAAAGCTGCACTCTGATCATAATAATAATTACAGCAAAATAGATACTAAAATAAATTTAGACGCAGGAATCCTCCTGCCCTCTCTGTCGACACGGCACGTTATCATGATTACTATCCACGGGAGGCTCAATTAACCGACATTCTCACTCCTCAAGCCAAAACCCATCCCCCTATGTCGTTGCGGCCGCATTTCATTGACACCATTTATTTTCACCTCTCTTGCAGCTCGACGACGTAACGGTCTCTTCACAAATGGAAATTATGTCATC